CATTTTGAGCTTTGGAGATGTGGACAGACTAATAATAAAGTATTACTCAGACAAGTGTGAATGAAAACAAAACACAACACAACTGCGGGTATGTTTTTGAGGAAGTAACACCATTATAACACGGCTTAAAGCTCACAAGCCTCAATTTTCAAATACTACTACTTCAATATTACTTAGCTGATGAAAGGGTTACATGCAGTTTTTCATTTAAAGGGGTCAGAGTACAAAAGGACAACGTGTACTGCCGAGAGGTTTGAGTTTCTATTCAGGAAGTAGCAGAATGCCCCATAGACACGTAGTACAGTTTGTATGCGCTTGCAGTAACATGTAGGGTGGGAGCTGGGGTCTGTCAGAAGCGATTGAATTTCACATTGGTATCTCAGGTTATTTCGAGTCCTTACAGCAGCTAAAACCAGACCTGGAGGTAATTCAACACAGGAGGAAAAATGCATAGTGGGCAACCAGAATTGACAATTTACATACCTATTTGAGTGAGTCTAGATTTCTGATGACAACAGACACATTTTATTTATTTTCGAGTGATAAATTATTAGCTGAATTTGCAAGTAGGCCTGTCATGATGACAAATTTTGAAGTACAACACATTGCTGAAGTAAACACCTAGATATTCTTTTTTGCAGTGTAAGTTCAAATGACGTAAAGGTGCATTGTGTAACTTTTCTGGTAACTTTTCTCCGTGGAGATGTCATTGCTCGGCCTGGAATGTTCCACAGTATGGCATTAAACCTTTCTATAGTCATGGAGACCAAACCAGACAAAGTTACAGGTCAAATATGTGGAGAGGCAAAACAGTCGGAATGCCAGTTTTTCTACGTATTTTGAGCTATAAAACCACTTGTAATTGCATCAATGTAAGGTAGAGCTGTTTAATGTCATACTGTGGAACATTCCAGGCCGAGCAATGACATATCCATAGAAACAAGCAGGTGATGCACCCCTAACCAAAAAGTTACATAGTGCACATTTTACTTTGAGTAGATTCAACTTAATAAGTAAAATTATCTACCAATAGAATTAGTGTTTAACTTAAAATGAGAATCCAGTGTTGCTTGAATTAAGTGTAAAAAGTCTGGTTCCATGAGTAGATAATTTTACTTGTCAAGTGAAAATTACTTAAATTATGATAACTCTTTATTTCAAGTCATCTTAACTTGGCTAGATTTGAGTTTTTGCAGTGTATAGACGATAAGCGACAATACTGAAACCAGTATATAGCACTGACACAAAAACTCAAAAGCAGACTTAAACCACAAAAACCCTAGCCCTAGCCGCAAAAGCTATTCTAAAAATGAAGGAATTTAGTACATAATTTGCATAAGAAGTTATTAATTGAACCTTTTGTGACTTAAATCTTATCATATAGCCAAAAAATAAATAAAATAAATTCCCTGTAGTGCAAATAAAATGTACACACAATACATACTGACCATTAAAAAAAAAAAAAAATTGCTCCAAGTCAGTATAGTATCTATCATGACAGGCCTACTTGCAATTGTACTTACCACAGGACAAAAAAGAAAACAATAAAACAGTAGAAAAGGCATAAAATAGGATTGAGAGGGTTATGTTAATGATGCAAAATGCAAAAGAATAAATGAAGCACAAAACAACTTATAATGCCACAAAATGCAAGAGTTGATGTCAAAAGAAAATGCAGGACGATGCAAGGCGGAGGAAGGTAGACGTAGGGGTAAAGAGATGGGGTCTATGAAATATAAAGTAACATCTGCTGGTTCTTTTGACTGGGGAATAACTGAGGAGAACGAAAATGTAATGGACGAAAAGATGACGATGAGCATGGAAGTGCCAGGAGCAACTGAAGAGGGTGTGGGGAAATGGTCCATGCCTGAAGAAACTTTTTTTTTACCTGTTTTTATGTTCACGTTTGGCATCTTAAACAGACTCTTCTTAGCAGTTGTTCCTTCTGTCTTTTGCACTGGGGAGTGGGTGACGGGAGCTTTGGGTGGGGGTTGCTGTATGTCAAGCTTCTCCAGTTCGGCCTTGCTCTTCTGGGGGGAGGACTGGGTCAGGAGGAGGTAAGAGCTCTGACTTGAAACCTCGTCGTCCATCAGGAGGGATGGGGTTACCTTGGTTGGAGGTGGAGCAGAAACAAGAGTCTCCTCCTTCCTCCCAAATGTTAGATCATCATCCATGGGGATTTCTGGTGCTTTCGAGGAGGCAAACTTGGAAGTGTCGAGTGCTTCCAGAAACTCATCGATCACGCCCCTGGGTGGTCTTTCAATGAATTCAAACTCCTCTGAAGAAACCTCATGCTCCGAGACCTCTTCCGCCACTTCAGGCTCCTCCATTTTTACATCTTGCTTATCAGTTTCCACCTGAAAACTAGCTGGATTTTTAGCCATGGCTTCCAGGACAGGGGAGAGAGAATCTGCAGTTGGAGACTCAGAATCTGAATCCTCACCGGTATGTTTTTTGCTCTTCAAATCGAGTGGTTCCAAGTTGTCTGGTTTTTTGGGAGAATCGAAGCCTGCGAACCAGTCCTTCTGTTCGATCTTCACTGGTTCCTCATCTTTGCCTTTTGTAGGTGTGGTTTCTTCTGCCTCTTTCACAAGGTCAAAAGCCCCAAATGCATTGTCATCCACCAGTTTAGCATGCTCGGCTGCTTTGACCTCCATCTCCTCAGCCATCTCCTTCAGCAGGGACACTTTGCCTTCAAAAGCAAAGGGATTGCTGGAGAGGTTGATTGGAGGGTTGGGGGACTCCATCATCTTGCGTTCAAGGATGGGACTCTGGTCTTCAGGGGTGCCCTCAGAAGATCCAGAGTCCATTTTGTCGGGGTTAAGTGGAGAAGACTTCAGAATGTCTGGCAGAGAGCGAGGTTGGACAGCATCACCCTCTATCTTCTCCTCCTTCTCATCCTTCAAATCTGAGAGGTCCTTCATGCCTGATGAGAACGGACTCATCGACTGCATGAAGGAGTCAGAGGCCTTCTTTCCAGTGTCAAACTTTTCCTCCTCGTCAAGAAAAGATGGAGGGCTGTCAGTGCTCTCACCCGTCAGCCCATACTGGACCAGATCTGGAGTAGGACTTTCTGACATTTTGGTGGTTCTGCTTTCGGACTTGGACTCGCCAAAATGGGAGTAGCCACTGTCAGCCAGTGGTGAAAAACCATCAAAAGGATTATTATTCTTCTTCATCTCATACATCAAGTCGTCATCTTCATCTGAGTTGTTTCCTTGAAGGTCAGACTCGTACTTGGAGCCAATTGGAGCGGTTTCTTTTGAGAATGGATCCATGGAGATTTTGGAGTTGTCTTGAGATGTTAGGAAATGTGTATCCCAGTGCTCTGTTGGGTTAGAGGAAGTAAGGTCAGACTCAGGAAGCATCATCTGAGGGGTCACAGGGGAGGGACCAGTGGAGGACCTGTCTGAGCTAGCCATCTTCTCCTCTGGTGAGAAGGAAACGCCACTGTCTTCACACGGATTATGAGTTGGATCTTTTCCTAGACTCAGGTAAGGCCCAGCTAACGGATCTAGCAGGTCGCTCTTATTCTGACTATGCCCGTGTCCGGGAGAACCCTCTTCACCCTCCCAAGGCATGTTCTTGGAATGAGCAGTGGGGGGTTCAGTGGAGAAGGAGCCCAAAGGTGCAGCAGATCCAGAAGTTGGGGGTTGGTTGGGACTCTCCGTCAGAGATAGCTCCTCCAGAGAGTCGGGGGAGTGGAGAGGGGACAGAGGAGAGATGGGAGCAGGGGAGTCACCCTTCTGCCCAAGTGCTTGAGTAGAGAGGGAGGAGGGAGAATGCAATACAGCACATATCAAATACATACATTCCTTACAGTGCACACCACACCTGGGTATAGCAGTTCATTTAACAATTCTACTAAAAACAGACAAATTCTAAAACTAGTTGCATGAATACAGTGATCTAAACTAATGAAAAGTGTCATGAATATTAGTATCATGTGAATCACTTGTAAAGCTGGCTATACTTATTCACTTATGTAATTATCTGTACCACATTTGAACATAAAACACACAATTAAACAGCTCTGAAACTTAAAATGTGAATTGCACAACTTTTTTGATGAAGGGTCTGTCACTTTCTTGTCTCCATGTAGATGTTATTGCTCTGTCTAGAATGTTCCACAGTAGAGACAACTATAGGATTCATTCCAGGTCAGATCTATGGAGATGCAACCCTATTCACAGAGAGAATGATTGTATTTTTGAGCAAGAGATAAATGCTAGATAAATGTGTTTAACGTCATATCCTGGAATATTCAATCCAATAAAATCTCCATGGAGACAAGTAGGTGATGGACCCTCCATCAAAAAAGTTGCGCAATGGACCTTAAAAATGAAGTAGTACAATAGGAATTTTTAGTGTTGTAGTTAACCAAGTGCATTATTCTTAGTAGAATGAAGTGCGTTGATTTTCTATAACTGCCAAAAAAGTGTTTTTTGTGTTTTGAAAGAGAATAAACATGGCCAGCCAAGCAAGATCACCCAATTTGGACTTAATTACAGACACAGGACTAAAAAAAAAGTCCCAGTCTTCATAGAATTATTTTTCTAATAAATCCAGCATACCCCTTTTATTCTAGAAGTCCATCCTTATGGACACAGGCTAAAATATTCTACCCCAGGTTTGGCGCCAACAAACCATGCTTTAGTGTGTTAACATTTTTAGTGAGTTAAGATAATGATTCTGCTCAGGGACTTGAAATGATGTCTTTTATGAGTAGAATCATTATAGTTCTAAAATGCCTGTGTTAGTGGCTCTACTCTACAAAAGTGAAGCAAAGTACAGCATGTAAACACAAGCATGGTACTAGTGCTGTATGCAGTTAGATTTATATTATTAACAGGCAAATGGACAGAACTACAGTCGACAAACACAGTATCACAACTATAACATGCACTGTGCTATTATTTAAAAACACAAACAATTAATGAGAAGTGAAGAGTATAAAAGACTGAATGCATGAAGAGAAAGATCAAGCAAAGCGGACTTGCCTGTGGGGAATTGCATCAGAGGCTGAAGCTGAGCTTTAGGAGGAGAAGGAACATCTGTGGAGGAGAAGAGACAGCAGCAAAGAGGGAAGTCAGTTTGAAAAAGGCAGAACCAGAATCACAGCTTCAATGACAGACAACAGGTCAGAAGGTATAAAATCAAGTTGTCCCGCTCACATGCAGTCTAGAAAGAAATGTTATAACTATACCCAACTATGGCATTTTTATTACAGTTTTGTTCATCGTCTGTTGATGCGATTATAGAAGTGCTAATACAGGATAGTTCCCTTTCAAAGTGGATTTTCTGTTTGACTTTTTGATTTAAAATGTCCCATATTGCAATTGAAAATTTACTCTAGTGAGCTTTAAGCCATGTTAGAATGTTGTGACCTCCTCAAACATACCTGGAGTTGTGTTTTGTTTCATTCACACATATGAGTAATCTTTTAGTCTGTTTACATCTCCAAAGCTCAAAACGCTCTGTTCCACCTTGTGATGTCATGTAGTGGTAGTTTTCAAGTTAACAGCGGCCTTTTATGTTTAATTCAGTAGAGTTTAACAAATCCAGGGCTGCAGTGATCCAAGTGATTTTAGTGAAGAAGTACGGAGTTTAAAAACACAGTGGAGCACTTCCTGCAATCCCACATGACATCACAAAATGGCACAGAATGTTTTCCATTTGAGAGAAGAACTCACACTCCCCCACTCACCTAAATACGCAGGGTTTGTGTTTTAAACATATGAATGAAACAAAACAACTTCCGTTCTGTTTTTGATGAGGAAAATATGGGCCATTGAACTTTAGCAGTACTCTCCTCTTTGAGTATACAGCATGTTTCAAATTATTTTGATCACTGTTAATATTACAGCTTACAAATTACTTCAGAATCTATATACTGGCTGTTTAGAAATATATTTAAATCCAATATTGACAGACTGACGGTACATTAACAGTTGTTTTGAAGTAGTGTATGTGATGTAGTAAATGTGATGAAAGAGTTGCTTTCAGCCAGGTAACTCTGGTATGTGAACATGAGGTACAAGCTGAGCATTTTATTTAAAGACAGGTGAGGCTGGAACACACTATGTGTCAGTGACAGGGCAGACCACATACTTCAATAGGGGCAGACAGAACTCAAGAGCCAGACTGTGATTAATGAAGAAATATGCAGCTCTTTGCAAGACATGTGAGTTAAAGGGCCCATATTACACTATCACAAACATATCTGGAGTTGTGTTTTGTTTCACTCACATACATTTAACACACAAAACAAAATTTAGGCTTGAGTTCTTCTCTCAAACTGAAATCACTCTTGCCCCTTGCACCCTTGCGATGTCATGTGGTGGTAAAGGAAGTGCTCCACTGAGTTTTGAAACTTCATACACCATCACTAAGATAATTTGGAAAATCAGTTTTAGAATTGCTAATCTTTACTGAACTAAAGGTGAAAAGTAGCTGTTAACTTGCAAACTACCACTACATGATATCATAGAGGATTGTGGACTTTGGAGATGTAGACAAGCAAATAATAAAAGGTTACTCAAACAAAAACAGGTCTGTCAAAAAGGTCTGTTTTTGAGGAGGTAACAACATTCTAACATGGCTTAAAGCTCACAAGAGTCAATTTTGCGTATAATGAGATCTTTAAGTGAGACACATTCTCTTGGCTCTGGCTGCTGTTACACAACACAGCTTGAATACACAAATGTACAGATGAACACATTGTACCCAAAGACACTTTCCACCCATTCTACAAACACAAGAAAAAGGACCTGTGGAAGAACTAGTTGTTAATAGCTTTTATCAGTTTACTGCAAGCTAGTAAAAAACATACAAACATCACAGCCTTTCCAGAAAAATATTACATCTTCAGAAGTCAAATGCACCACTATAAGAGGCGTGGTCAGACCTGAAAACTGTACCTCGCAAAAATGCTGAGGTAGAATGAAAAGCAGTCTTCACAGATAGTACAGTAGCAATTTATGCCAAATTTTCTTATGGCAAGGTGATGAAATTAATTGGAGTATGCATTTGTGAATCTACAATTTACAGTTCATTCTTAATCTTACATTTGATCATAAGAAAATGTGATTCAAACGGGGGCACAAAAACACTGAGAAGCAATGAATCAGCTACAGATCAACGTTTCTGATTCGATTTTCAGTAGGTCGACAATTTGATTTTGATTTGATCTGGATGGGATCTTGGCATTTTGTGGTTACCTCTGGGGTCAAGGTTTAGTTTCCAGCGCTGGAGCAGACCTAAACCAATAAGACACATTAGCCATCTGAAATGCTTACACTTATTGAATTAGGACACTCTTGTTCAGTGTTAGGTACCTCACTCTGCCTGGTGCGAGCTATAAAGACAAGCACTGCTCTTCTGCTTATAGCCTAGCTCCTCTGCTTATAGACCTGTTCCTCTGCTGAGGCAAAGACAGCTCAAACCCTTGATCCTGAAGCTCAGTCTACATGTGCCCTATCCATGTCCCCCACGGGCTAAAAGTATCTCGAGACTCTCAACAACTTGACCATGATATATGACTTTTGGTTAATCGCTCACCTGCTGGCTTCAAACTCCTCTTGTAAAAAAGAGAAGGGACTGGTCTCACTATAGGCCTGCCTCGATAATAACTACTAGTATATTGACTTAACGAGCACTAAATGAAAACTGGGACTATATATTTTTGGGTTCAATATTTATTACTTGTATTCTTTCTTTGTGCGGCTGGGAAAATTTTGGTTATTTTTGGCTATACAATAAGATTTAAAAGGTGCATTGTGTAACTTTTCTGTTGGAGGGTACGTCAAATGCTTTTGTTAATGTTATTGCTTTGTTTAAAATGTTTCAGAGTATGTAAACCTTTCTGACTTCATTGAGAACAAACCAGACCAAGTTACAGGTCAGATCAGTGGAGGGGCGACACCACTCACAGTCAGAGTGCTAGTTTTTCTATATTTTTGAGCTATAAAACCACCTATAATTTAATAAATATAAGGTAGAGGTGTTTAATTTCATACTGTGGAACATTCCAGGCAAAGCATTGTATCCATAGAAACAGAAGATGATGGACCCCCATGCACCTTTAAGCTGTAAAAGGTAAAATCAGTAACTTCAGTACTCAGTTCAGTTCACTTCAGTTTATATCTGTAATGAGTCATAGAAGTTGCAGTTCATGATTTTTTTTTTTTTTTACAATATTTTTTCATTTAGAATATTTTTTGAGTTATAAATCTGCTCTTGGGTTGTGGTGTGGCATAAATTAGTTTCAATATTATAGTTCATCATCTACATTAAGGTGCATTGTGTAACTTTTCTGGTGGACAGTCTGTCAAATACTTTTCTTGGGGAGGTTATTACTTTGTCTGGAATGTTTCACAGTATGGTATTTCACCTTTCTATCTCTTCAGGGCCATAAAACCACCTGTAATTAAATAAATGAAGGTCAGAGCTGTTTGATGTCATACTGTAGAACATTTGAAGCAGATCAATGACATACTCATAGAAACAAGCAGATGATGGACCCTCCAGCAGAAAACTTACATAATGCACCTTTAACTTTAGTAATATATCACACTTCGGAATTTGTTATCATGACAGGCCTACTGACAAGAGTTAGAAGACATTAAGCATAGCCCCAAAGCAACAGTTCAGCTACTTTCGAACAACTGCTTAGTATGCTCACTGGGGCTGGGGCTAGGAGGCTACTTGTGCATAATTTATACTTCCCCTAAAGAAAGAAGACTGTCAGTGCACTTTGGCTATGGGGGAGCTGCAGATATCAGTCTGTAAATGGGACCAATCAGATAAAATAAAGCCTGTTACACTATCCAGTATCCAAATCTCTCGGTACGATATTTACTCGATATTGTGTGGAGGCTTACAAAACTGTGATTATGGTACTTTTTCCTTTTAAAATGCCATGATAAGCCTTTGGTACTGCTATTATACAAAGAATTAAGATTTAAAAGTGCTTAATAACTGTTATTTCTAAATGTAGTCTGCACTGAAATAGCAAAGGATCATGGTCTATGTAGTTCCCTCTCTTTTTGTTTTAGCTATTAATGCACCACAACAATGAGTTTAAGGAAAGAGACTTGTAGTTTGATATATTGTGATGGCCCACGATATTATTGTGCGACTTTTTTTTAAATATCACGGTATTTTGGTTACATCACTACCCATTAGGGCAGTGCAATTAATGGAAGTTTACTCAAATTGTGTTCAATCATTTGCATCATTTACAAGCAGTGCTTTACATTGTTGTTTTATGCATACACATTTAATTAAAATCGTTAGTTATTTATTTGTAGCAAGAAGTATATAATTTAATTTGAGAACTGATCAACACAAGGGAAGGAAATCGCCCTATGACTCATGGTTCCTGAACGCATCAGATGTTACAACATAGAGAAGCATTAAACACATTTTTTTCTTCTTCCTACTCCTTTTTGGGCAAACATTGTGTTGTTGTTTTTGCTTCTATTGTTATGGTTGCACTAATCTCAGCATGGATAATAATATGTTCCAATATAAAAGAATGTAAAATGCTTACTTGCCCAAAATAAATACATAAATAATATTTGAACCATACTATGCACACATGGAGGATAGTTTATAAGACCCTGGGCTCTAACAGACTGGGCGAAACCGCAATGTAAACACACTATGAACAGCCTGTGCACCATTCAAACACTTGGCTCTGAATGCTCCGTGCTCGTCTGTGTAGAGGAGGTGAGCTCTGCAGATTTGCATGACAGCCTCATCTTTTCTTTTTTAGAAATTCGACAACTGTGAGGTGGGCTGGCTCTGCTGTTGGAAGCTTTTAACCCCACACACGCGCGCTCTCCTCCAGGATACCACAGCACAACACAGGGCAAAACAATAACAATGGCGGAGTGGTTAAGCTTCGGTGAGTGCGTCTGACATCACTGTTGTTCCCATAATCCACCTGACCACATCACAAGTGCGCTATAAACACGTCCTGACGGATGTAGGTGACCCGAAAGTAGATGTAGGCCAGCGGTGAGGGCAGGGTTAGGTTATTAGGAATGCTGTCAGTTAGTTTAAGGAACGGGACCAACACTGGATGACGGTGAAAAAAAGTGTGATTTAGGGGTGCATTGTGTAACTTTTCTCATGAAAGGTGTGTCAAATGCTTTTCTCCATGGACATGTTTCACAGTATGGTATTGAACCTTCATGGAGACCAAACCAGAGCAAGTTACAGGTCAGATCTGAGGAGAGACAGCCCCACTCACAATCAAAGCGCCTGATTTTCTAGGTATTTTTGAACTATAAAACCACTTTAATTTAATTTAATAAATATAAGGTAGAGCTGTTTAAATGAACGTGCTTTGGGGGTTGATGACAAGAAACTAAGAAACCGGTGTTGTTCAGTTGATAAACATTTGAACTAAGGATGCACTGATCCTGCTTTTCACTTCCAATACGGATTTCGATACTTTAGCTTTAATTAGCCAGTGCAGAGACCGAAAAGAGCATTTATTTCCTTTAAATAAAACTAAAATAAGACAATAGTGATCCAAATGTAATGTGTAACTATTGTTTATCTCAAGCATTACAAAACAACTTTATATAAACAAAAGATTATCAAATATTATGAGACTTTCTACACCAACTATGATGAGTAAATAGCTTTATTACATAGAGTTATATGTCCTACCAAGATATCAGCTGAATCGCTATTTAGAAGCATATATCTGATCCTGCAGGTTTTTCAGTATTCATACAGATATCAGATACCAGTATTGGATCAGTGCATCCCTATTTTTAACAAAGGGGTAAAAAGAGGTTGGGTCATACAATAATAGATGACTGAACAATTATTAAAAACACGCTCAACATAAATCTTGTTGGAATAAATACATGAAACGCAAATTTTTAACAACTACCAGAATACTTTTGAAATGATGACTTCAAATGTCAACCTTAGCCAATTCACTGACCAAATAAAGTACCCTTTGATAACAGCTTTCCTAGCAAACTACACAATAATAAAGCCTAACCTTTGTCACCAGTGCATTCACCCGTATCGTGTTACTTCTGTGATATGAACGCTAGCTCATCCTGCTCATATGATCCTGCTTCACCAGGGGCCTTGCCAAGCAGCCCCACCCTGCCTCTCCTCTCCCTGAAGGAGTGCACTAGGCCTGTTTACTCGGGATTTAACACGTATTAGAACAATATAAATCTCCCAAACCGCCTCTCATCTTTAAACCAGTCTAGACATGAGAAAAATGTCACTTGATCAGAGCCAAATTTGTCATGACAACGCAAAGAAATCCGTATCCGTGCTCGCAGGCCTGCCTCTCCTCGCTCGGATTGTGGCCGGATTTGGGATGCTGATTCGGGTGGGGGCGTGGGGGGGGTGTGAGGCTGCTGGGACAGTGCTGTAACGGGGAAATATGTCGCCACTTGTTCGGTAATGTTGTGGAAAGACTCGGGAGGCGACAGGGAGTGGACCCGGCGCGGATTCCTTTGTTGTGACTAATCTCTGGGTTACGGCTTTGGCACACAGAGCCAGCTAGCGGCCCATGGTTCAATTATCGGACACAGTAATCTCTCTTCTCTTCCCAAGTGCATTGCCTTCACTGTCCATTCCCCGTGGACTCATTCGTAAAGTGCTTCTAGATTGTCAAGGCGTTTTATTTTCAGCTGCTCAGCCATTCCAATGAGACAGCAGTGGCAGACGCGTAAATTACGGTGGAACTACTGCATAATAAACCATAACAGCATATTCACATCTGTATATTTCGAGCATACATTAAGCCTGATGTAGATGTTTTAACCTGATCATGTCTTTAATGTTACTAGAAAGGTTAAAACTCCCCACGTCCGACAATGGAACCAGGCTACCGACTCCCGTTAGCAGCGGGCACAGCGGGCAGATGCACAGAGCAGATGGGCGCTGTTACCTCAGTCTGATAGAATTTTCTATCAATAACATTGAGATGCAGGAGTACGGTATGGAAAATGTGCAAATAAACTCAAATATACACTAAAACAACCAGCAGCCGTGTATAAAATCAGCAAAATTGTAATGATGCAAAATTGGAATATGTCTAAACAGGTGGGCCGCATCACAACACAACGCAGAAATAACGAAGAAATGCACGGTTTAATCTATTATCAAACCACGTGAAACATGCGCATTAGATATTCTTTTAGATTTATAATCAAGTTAATCCCATTCAAAGTGCGGTTAATGTGTCAAACAGCCGGTTGGTGTCGTGGTAACAGACTCATTAGCATCACTGAGCTAGCGCGGCCCTGCAAAATGCGCATAAACTCAAGCACGCAAGTCTAATAAATAAAGGTGACAGCGATGCATGAGTTTGGATAACGGTTTTAGGTTAAATAAATTTAGTTTTTTGTTTAGATCTGTCAGTAGAAGTTATCAGGAATGATAAAGAAACCGCAATAAATACCTAGAATAGAAATACGAACGCGCGTAAATAAGGTCTAAATTGTAAACATGGACTAAAATCCAATAAAAAATGTGCTAAGATATGATAAGAAACTCACAAGATGCTGGAGCCGGTGGTTCCTCTGTCACTGCAGGCTGAGCTGCTGCCTCTACGGGGGCTGGGGCTTCTTTGTGGGGTTCAGCCACAGGGAGGGCGTCGCTCACTGGGGCAGGGGCAGGCTCTGGCTCTGGCTCTGGCTGCGGCTCTGGCTCCGGGGCAGGCTCCGGTACAGTCGTCGTAATCTCCGGTTCGGCAATAGGTGCGACCACTACAGGCTCCTCGACAACAGGCGGAACCTCCGGGACAATGGAGGGGGTTGTGGAGTCTGGGAGCGCCGCCTCTACCACCGGTGCGGGCTCTGGCTCTGGCACTACCACGGGTTCGGGCTCTGGCACAACCACCGGTTCTGGTACCACCGGCTCTGGCTCGGGGGCTGCCACCGGTTCAGGCTCACTTATTGTGGTTTCTACAACAGGTGCCGGCTCCGGGACAATGATCTCCGGCTCAGGCTCTTTCACGGGGGCTGGTTCTTCTAACGTTACCGGATGTTCCTCTAAAGTTTCTGTGACCTCATGTGGCGCACTGTCTTCAGCTATGTGTCTTTCTAAAGCGTCCCGAGCACCACCGACCAGGTCCACAATATCCTCCACGCTGAAGTGATCGGCTTTGGGCTGCTCCAGTTCTGGCTCGGGTTCGTAGTGGTGCACCACATCGTTCAGTAAAGAAGTAGTAGTTGAAGTAACTTGCTCCTCACTGTCTGCCATTTTAGCGTCTTAAGAAACCTTTTTCTAAAGCGAAAAAATAAAGTTTTGTCTCCACTTAGTCCCCCGTCCACAACCCCGTCTCACACGTCCACAGGGAACGACTAGAAAGCGGCGACCCCCTCCGAGTAACCCGCTTTAGACACCGGACAAAGTTGGACAAGTGCGCCACAGAGACAGACCCGAGGCTCAGATGGCCACGGTGAATTTGAGAAAGAGATGTGGGGAACTTCACTGACCAATTAGCCACGGGTGAACTTTTGAAGGACGTGACCCTGGACCAATGAGTGCGCAGACATAAGCTCTAACCCCGCCCCACCTGGATGTATGCGTAACGGGACACCTCCTCCGTGAAAGCCCCTGCTGGAGTTTAGGAGGAGCAGAAAGTTGAGTCCTTTTCTGACATAAGTGAGGCTCCAACAGGGCACTTATTACATAACAACTTATTCCTGCTACTCTAGGCTATGGAAACAGATACGCACAATACATAGCCAGGTATACGCATAAGAAATAGAGAAAAAAAAATGTCACAAAAAATTAGCTCAAATAATAACAACATCATAAAATAAAACAGAACATCATTATATGGTAGCTGAAAATAAAATATTAAAGGTGCATTGTGTACCTTTTCTGAGGGAGGGCCCATCAAATCCTTTTCTCCATGGAGATGTTATTGCTTTGAGGAGTGTTTCACATTAAGTTATTAAAACGTTCTATCTTAGACTTAGATCTAGACTTAAACAAACTTTATTGATCCACAAGGAAACTTATTTGTCTTAATGGAGACTAAACCAAATCTAATTAGAGGTCAGATCGGTGGAGAGACAACACCGCTCACAGTCATAATGCCTGTTTTTGTTTCTATTTTTAAGCTATAAAACCACCCGTAATTCAATAAATGTAAGGCGGAGCTGCTTAATGTCATACTGTGGAACATTCCAGGCAAACACAAATTAATAGAAACAAGCAGGTGAGGGACCCCCAACCAAAAAGTTACATAGTGCATCTGTAAGCTATTTATAACAATAATTTATGGACAAAACAGCTCCAACATGTCAGGAAAATGTCAGCTTTTTATACTTTTATACGTCCTAATGTCTAATGCCCAGTGTTACTACCCTATTCTAGATGCAAGAAGAAGAGCAGTGCTTTAGTTCTGACATAGACTATAGATAGAGATATAGAGTTTCACAGCCTACTGACAAGCTCCAGTCTATATATAACATGAATATATATATGTGTGTGTGTGTCTATGGCTCATGCTGTACTGTACATATGATAATGTGTGGGAGTGAAGGAGAGGAAGAACAGGGTGAAGGGGGTGTGTCAACATTTCTAAACAGCAGTGCTCACTGTTAACACTAAAAGAGCACAGGGCGAAATGGTGTGTGGCAATCGAAAGAAACATATGAAGTACATTACATTGAAAGGCCCATATTACACTATTCCCGGATCTATGTTATAATGTTGTTTTCTCGTCACAAACAGACCTGGAGTTGTGTTTTGTTTCATTCACACGTTTAACACACAAACCCTGCAGATTTAGGCTGAGTTTATAGAATCATTTGCATTATTTCAGCCCTGGAATGACATCACAATGTGGAGCAGAGCATTTTGAGCTTTGGAGAGGTAGACAAACCAATAATAAAGGAATAATAAAGGATAACTCAAAAGTGTGACTGAAACAAAACACAAGATGAGAAGTGCTGTATAGTACTTTTCCTACTTTAAGGCACTGAAAACACTTTGCATCAAGGAACAACATTCATACACCAGTGGCAAAAGAAGAAATAAAATCTGTCAACTGGACAAAAGTTTATTTGGTCGAATAACTTTTATCCAGTTGACCAATCGAATTTCTTCTTTCGTCTTCTTTCGCCATGGATTCTACCTGGACAACTGATGGATTGTACACATATCTTAATACACCAATGTACGCAGACACAGGGGCAATGTTGGTAAGTGTCTTGCCTAAGGACACAACAACAGCATTCAGTGGGAGATGGAAGCGCACCGTCGACCTGTGTGTAAACAGCGGTAATTAATCATGTTGTACTTTTTAATTTGCCTTGTTTTAATGCATGCCCTTATTTTTATTGTATGAGTTTATATCAATATTCATTGTTTTATGTTGAACCATACCACTGGACCATACAACTAAAGTGAGTTTCCAGTTGTCACGATACGACTAGACTTACAGACTTTATTGATCCACAAGAGAAATTACTTGAACACAGTAGCTCACACGTCACATTATATTACAATAACACAGAGTAAAACATTTTTTAAAAAATGGTAATAAACTTCTTCTAGTGGTAATAAACGTAACAGACTCGATACTCAAACTGATTCAGATTTATTTATACAACAGAATGTGATTTTCAACATTAGATGGTAGTATTTCCATTTATATTCCCATATGTGTGTAATCCCTCAGTAGTCCAGGTAGATTTCATAGTGGTCCATGGGCGATTACTAGTTTAAGTGCTCTTATACTTGTTCTGATACAGCTCAAGATCATTCTAAAGCTATTCAGGAAAGGTTATTCTGTTCTGTGAATGTTACTTTTTTAGTATCGATACCTGCTCAAATGAGTATCTACTTTCAATACTAGATTTACTATCAGTTAGTATTTGATACGTTTAACAACCTTAGTTTTTAGTTTGAGAATTTTGTTCATTGGCAATGGAAATAAAACTTATTCTGATTCTGTCTGGGAAAAGGCCCACAATTACAGAGAAGATATAAACCACAAATCAGGAAGGCAAATAAAGGAAAACTTTACAATAAAATTTTGACCAGGCCTCCAGCTCAATTCCAAACTATGGGCAGTTTCTAATCTGTGGATACCAAAACAGAACTGTTGAACTGTTCTACTCATGTTTGCATTTGACACCAACCGAAGGTCACTCTGACTCATTTACAGAGTCTAAAAATGTACCTCAAACCAGCATTTTAACCCTGTCTCCTATGAACAAAGTCAGAGTGGAATCACATGAGTCAGTCTCAATATGAGTCTTTAAAACTGCATGGACCTCACTTTTATCAAGATGAAGATCAGAGAAGTTTTCATTGTCCACAGACTAAAGTACAAATAAGTGTCTCACTAAAACTACGGCATTGCTGCTAAACACATTCTGTCAAAGGGCAAAGTCACAGCATAAGTGAACAGGAATAATAATTTACCACATGTCAGTTGTCCAAGGATTTGTATTACGTGTAGGGGTGCACTGATACAGCTTTTTCAGTTCCAATATCGATATCGACACTTTGGCTTTAAGTATCTGCCGATATCCAAAATTAACAGATTTCAGTGTAGAAAAGGAAAACAAGATTTTCCCCTCCAAAAAAACAGTTAACTTGTTACAAAACTGATTAAATTGTGTTATGGAATACTTTCTGGGTCAGTCAGTAAATAATTTCATTGCATCTAGTTAAAAGCCCAACCAAGCTCTCAGCTGAACCAATACCATGGAATCAATACCTGATCCAGCAGTTCTTCCTGGATCGGTGCTGACATTCGATACCAGTATCAGTATCGGTGCATCCCTAATTACATGTAGCCAGAGGTGGGCAAAGTTACTTTAGAATTAAATTATTCAAGTAAATGTGCAAAGTAATGGGCCAAGAAAAAGTGTAAAATAATCATTTGGGGGAGGTACTACAAAAGTAACTGTGGACGTAACAGTTACAATACAAGTATAAGAAGAACATAATATTTTCTAAGTATAGACCACAAAAATGAGAACCAAAAAATAATGTCTGAGTGATAGTCTGTCATCAGAGGTATAATACTCCCTACAACAGAAGCATAGCCAGACTTATTGTACTGCATCCTGATGTTATAACTGCTATGATAACTTGTCATTAGACTCTAAGATAATCTATAATTTACTTGCACCTGACAGCACAAGTTTAGACAAGTTGAAGGATCAGTCCCAAACCCATAAAACCACCAAAGTCTTTCCTCATTAGGCATCTGAAAAGACTGATTTGACAGTAGACTGTGATTGAGATCAGATGAACAGAGGGTCAGACACACAGAGCAGGGCACAGTTGGACAATTGTTTCAGACTGAGCCTCTGTTATGAGCTGTGGGAGTGGGTTTGTTCAGGCAGATACGGAGCAGAATGGAGCCCACAGTGGCCCTTCTGTCTGACGCTTCTGTCTGATCTGTCTATGGGCTGTTATCTATGGGGATTTAACAAGTGTTTACACGGGGTGGGCTTAAACTAGTGTTAAACATAGTCTGGAAGTAAAGGGGGAGACGAAGTAGGCCCTCTAGTGGAGAAGATGAACTACACTATTAATATATTTGCCTTGTAGAAATCAGTTAAATTAAAACATGTTTATAAATATTTTCATTAAGGTTTAAAGCCACAATATGTAAAATAAAGGTTGTTTTTGCACTGAAAATCTGACTTGTATGATATACAATATATTTATCTCCATGGAGAATGTTTGAATGAGAATATGGTTTTAACTTTCTATTTCTATGGAACCATGCAGGTGACATGCCCCCTCCAGAAAGGCATATATTATACCTTTAAGTAAACAACAAACAAGAAAACAATATACCCAATATTCATATTTTGCATATCTTCAAAACAGTATTCAATATTATGAATCCATATTTCAATAATCTGCCCACCTGTAACAGCTAATGTGAAATAAAGAGTAATAGTAAATACATTAATTTACTAACATGTACCCCTCCTGTGTACCTGAGAGTCACATGTACAGGTGTTGTGTGAGCAGGGCTCCCTCTGGGTCTGAGGAGAGGACTTCAGTCCCACTCTGGCTCAGCAGCACAGATCTGATGGCGTGAGACAGGTCCGAGCGCTGGAGTAAGGAGCAAACATCTGAGATGTCACTCCACTGCTCCACTGTACCACCACTGTCCTGCAGTATGGCCTCCTCCAGCACACCTGAGACAGCACAACATTTAATCAGGAACTGATACAAACTTATGTGTGAACTCAGCAGCTACTTTAAAGCTACTATGTTTTTTTTGTTTTTATTTTATTAGAACAGGACCATGGGTAGCTGAGCAGACTGTGGTTTTGTTGATTGTGTTTTTTGAATGGCATGTCTAGGATTCCTCCTCTAAAATAGATAAGACAGGAAGCCTTGAACCTCTTCTCATATCACTTTTCCTTCCTCAGATAGCCCTTGTCAGCAGGATAAGGATACTGCAGGAAGAGACTGTGACGTACCTGGTCCTCTCCTGTTTAAACTGTCCAAGAGCTGCAGAGCAAACTCCTGAAGCTGAGGGTCAGAGAGCAGAGCAGCACAGGCCACACCCACTGAAAGCTTGCCCCCGCCCCCCGCAGGCCTGGTCAGCAGCTGCAGCAGACTCAGGCTGGGCTGCTGTCTGAACACACACAGGTAGTCCTCTGACAGAGACACGAGTGTTAGTGTATTTTCATAACACTGTATATGTTATTGTATAAACACACAGACTGACCTGGTGTGAGGTCCTCACAGCGTCTCATCAGCTCCACAGCGCTGTGGGTCAGTCCTCTTCTGCACATGCTCAGAGACAGTTTTCTGTGGGCCCCACAGGCTTTGTAGTGTTGAGAGGCCATTGCCAGTAACATGTCTGAGAGATAAACAGAAGCATTCTTCTGAGCATGCTCAGTCAGTATGTCCCCCAGCCTCTCAGAGCAGGTCAGTCTGTGACAAGAACAGTGTACTTAAGAACTCACATAGTTTAACACTGTTTATGTTTGAGATATAGTGTTTACTTGTCAAAATTGTGTGCATGGGTTAGAAGCTGCCAGTGGCCTTGCTCCAGAGCACAGCAGACACCCTCATAGGAGACAGACTCTGGAAGTCTCTGACCCACTGGAACAGTGGTGATGAGAGAGTGGAAGAGGAGCAGGAGGGGAGGGGGTGAGTGTGGAGGGGCTGTCACAGCTGTGAGCGAGAGGATGGACACATAACATAACACAGTATAACTCTGCATGTGTTTCACAGGGACATGAAAAACACAGAAGCTCCAGAGACCTTTGAACATGTGGACTGTGTGAAGGTTCCTCAAGAGTCCTCTGGGACTGTGAGCTGCCTGTAGAGCTGCCTCTTTGTATTGGGCCGAATCAAACAGGTCAACAAACCTGTGCACAGGACAAAAAGAATTAGAACACTAGTCCAGATAATGTACATCTGAAGGGTCCGGTTAGACCTCAGCAATTTATATTCACTAAACAAATCATGCCCACTGTTTGGTGGAGGAAACGAAGTAGCAGTGATGAGTGTAACATGGGACAGACATAGAGGCAGTTGGCTGCACCTGTTCAGATACTCTGTGAGGTACTCGGACTCGTCCACTCCTGTAGGCTCCTCACTCTCCAGCAGCTCTGTGTCTATGGTCAAGAAGTCATCCTCCGTCACTGAAACATGATATACTGTGTTTTATTTTCATGTTTGACACAAAACTTAAAAATAAACACAGAGGTGAGGATAGAGGATATGTAGCAGCCGCTTTTTATGTTTGTGTACACTTCCAAGTAAAGGTTTGGACACACCTTCTCATTCAATGTTTTTTCTTTGCCATGTTTATATTGTAGACTGAGGATATATGGAGTTATGTAGCAGAGAAATATTAAATAACTCTAAATATGTTATATATTTTAGATTCCTCAAAGTATCCATCCTTTGCTTTGTTTACAACGCTGCAAAACCTTGGCCTTCTCTCAATGAGCTTCATGATAAAGTCTCCTGAAATGGTTTTTAGTTCACAGCTCTTTCTCATCAGGGTTCATTAGTTTTAAACCAAGAGCAGACAAAGCAGTGATCAAAGCAAATAGTGTCCATTTTGAAGATCTAAAATATAAAAATGTTATTTCACACTTTCGTTTACTACATGTGTTTCATAGTTTTGAAGCCTTAAGTGAGAATCCACTATGTATAGTCATAAATAAATAGTAATGGAAATAAATCGAAGTGTCTCCAAACATTTGACTGGTGATGTATATTCTAATGAATTAACTTAAGTAGTGTCAGTGTCAGTACCTGTGGTGTGTGTGACTTCTTTTCTCACTAACTGTACCTCCTCTTCCAGAGGAGGGCGCTGTCCCCCCTCCCTCCAGTTGCACAGGTGGTCGTACACACACCTGAGACGCTTGTATCTGCAAACACAAAACACACTATTAGCAATTATATCATTTTAAGTCAAATGGACTAATTTTCAAGTGCCTGTGATTACAGAGTAAAGCAGCTCTTCTTAACCTGTGGTCCATGTATCACAGGTGGTGGTACATGAGCTCCATCTGGTGGTAAATTAATTCCTCTCAAACAGTGTTTCCCAAACTTTTTTTCTGGGGACCCATATTTTAAAAGTTACAAACCTTCCCAACCCAAATCAATAGAGATTATTCGTAATCACAAAATAAAGGTGGATTTGACCATTATTGAACATTAATAAGGATATTTTATTGTTGACTGAGTGATCGTGTCTCTCTGAACAATCAGTATTACTCAAGTATTAAAGACATTAAATGTAGCCCATTTCTTTACCGTTTCAATACTCAATTGAACCAGCAATATTGGAACAAAATAGTCAATAAAATAACTACAAAATGATAAGAAATTATACAAAACATGTCTTAACATTTCTAATGAGATAGATGGGCCTGTCTGCGTCTTTGGAGCATGATCCAGTCCGGGTGCAGGAGGAGAGCACAGCAGCAGATCAGTGTCAGGAATGTATATTGCAGACTTAAATGCAGATTGTGACAAGGCGACCAAAAAAAAATCTCTTGCGTCCCACCTGAGAGTCGCGACCCAGTCTTTGGGAAATAATGCTATAAAATACTAATATATGCTGATGTAAAGTCAATTTAATCCACATTTGGGTGAGCCCTTGTTTAGAACCTGTATAGCAAAAGTAGCCCTAGTCTGACCTGTTATAGACCTGCTATAGATCTGGTGAGCTAAATACTTTCTTAGATGGTACTTGATGTAAAATGTTTAACTGGAGAAAATCATATGTTTATGGTGCACTATATTCTTACTACTGTCACAATATTCAAATTTAAAACTTGATTTCGATACTAAGGAAATGTTTCTTAATGTAATAATAATAGCACTTTCTTTTCTATTCCCATATGGTGTTATATGTGTGTAATCCCTCAGTGGTCCAGGTAGGTTCCAGAGTGGTCCATGGTTGTATACTAGTCTATGTGCTCCTATATTTGTTCTGATTCAGCTCAAGATTGTTCTAAAACTATTTCTATTACTGTAAATGTGATTTTTTAAATATCAATACCTACTCAAAAGCATATCTAGTTTCAGTACTAGTTTTAGTATTGATTAGTATCTGATTTTTTATTATTTTCACATCCCTAGTCAGTTCTTACAGTAGTTTGAGCTGCATGTTTTCCTCCTTCATGCTGTTTCTCCATCTCTGTGTGGCCTCCTCCTCTTTGCTCAGCGTGGTTCTGACCTCCATGCTCACACACTGGCTCCTCCTCTCTTGCAGAGCCTCTCTCCTGGTCTGCAGATGCGACAGATGTTTCTCCAGGAGCTCCAGATTTTCTGAGTCAGCCAACGTCAGCCCTGAGGAGGCAAAACGTGAACACGACACAAATCTACAGCAGATGAGCATAAAAATACCTGCATCGAAAAACAAATCTTCTATTACCTGGTATCCACATGGTCTGTTCTCTCAGCGAGTTTTGTCTGTCGATCTCCTGCTGAAGTTGGATGTTTTCTTTTTGTAAAACAGAGATTCTGTGTGGGAAAAAAACAAACATGATTCAAATATAGGTTAAGCCTGCATGATCTGAAAACAATATCTAATTGCAATTGATACATTTTTCTAATATAAGAATCACATGTATTTCAGAGCATGTTTGTACAGATCTAAACTACAGAGATAGCAGAATAAGACAGGAAATTTTGCTGTTTTTTTTTTTCAAGGTTTATTTATTCACAAAAATATTAAAATTCTAATATTACACAACAGGTCGTCGTAATTTTTTAGTTTTTCTCCCTAGAACCCCAAATTCAATTTATAAACATGAAAACATGAACCAGACAGGTACAAGAAATACACTGATGAAATGAATCGGTAAATAATGTTAAAAGAAAATAAACCTGGTAGAAAATTTAATACAAATAAATGATATGAAGTAAGTGGCAATTTAAAAAAAATAAGTAGTAGTAATAATAATAATAATAAATAAATAAGTAAATAAATAAATAGAATATAATAAAAATAATACATTAATTAAACTACATTTATACAATTTCACTTACTTCCATGGTTTGGAAAGACAAAAATGGATTCCAGATTGTATAAACTATTTTAATTGAGCCTTTGGTTGTGTACCTGATTTTCTCCAGTTCTCCAGTGTAGTACATGGCATCCCTGACCCGGAGTCCATATGCAGGCGGTTGTGGTTTCTTCCAGTTCAGTAAAATCCTCCTACAAGCTAACAGTGTGCAGAAAGCCACCAGACCAGCCTGTCCCTCTGTCACATATAAACTAGTATTCACTCCAAAAATGGCAACAAATGGGCAGGGAGTCAGTACTTTACCACATATCTTAGAGAGAACATCAAATACACAATTCCAGAAATTACTCAATTCTGAACAAGTCCAAAACATGTGCAATAAAGAGACAGGTTCTTGCTTGCATCCATCACCAGTAGTTTCAAACCCGTTTCTAATCTTACTTAATTTGGTTTTAGACCAGTGGAGGCGATGCACCACTTTAAATTGAATCACCATATGTTTGAGGCAGATTGACGAAGAGAAAATTCTCTGAATAATGTTTTCGCAGGTCTCATCTGAAATCTGTTTACTCAAATTCTCCTCCCATTTACACTTAAGTGACTCCAGCCTAGCCATCTTATACTTATTCAACAAGTCATATCCCACACTTATAACACGTTTGGCATCTGGTTTCAACTTAATGATTTTATCCAAGAGATGGAGAAGGATAGGATGGGAAAGAAGGAGATTTTGTTGTTTGTGGAGGAAATGATGAGGTGATTTTGTAGCCCTAGTGTCTGTTATAGCAAAGGCCTGACTTCCAATGAAACTATAACTTCAGAAGCAATATTTATTCATTATTGAAACTTGATATCAAACCCACTAGATGATAGCCACTAAAATAACCCATACTTAGGCATATTCAACATAACTCTAGATATAATTATTGTATTTTATAATCCTTCATCTACAGTAGTTACCACCAGGGGAGAGGACAAGGATATTAAGGCTGGGGGATAAGGTAAAAAATTTATTTGATACCGCTTTGCAATGCCTGACTTTTAACTATTGCCTTTACACCCAAAAAATAGTCAAATTTCTTCCCCCAAAGTCTTCCTTCTGCTCCAAAACACATGATTTTACTGACAATGGATTGAGGAGATAGACCTTTTTCTATTATTTTCATTACAATTTCTCAAAATGTCAAAAGTGTTGGCTACTATAATGCCTACAGTTTTATACAAATAAACTGTACAATAGTTGAAAAAGCTATTATATTTAGTATGCAAAGGTATGCCATGTCTGTCTCTGAAATGTTCTTAAAAATGTAGGTTGGTTGTAGGTTTTTGGAGCACTGATGTTCTTGTATCACAGACTAGGCCTGGCACTCACCTGTCCCTGAGGCTGACCACTCGGCTCTCACAGGCCTCTATGGAGCGAAGCTGAAGACGTGAGGCCTTCACTGAATCCTGGGAAATCCTGGTCTCCTCCAGCCTCTGAGTGATGGCTCTGATCACACTGTCATACTCCGTCTTTATACTCAGCAGGACGCTCTTATAGGAAGAGGAACGCGCGATCAGCTGAAAGACAGAAAGAGACTGTTTCCTTGACAGATGCACCTGTGATATTGGGGGTTTTCCAGATGAAGATACTGGTCTAATATTTGACACCGATATTTTTTCTGCACTGCCCCAGTCCCTCTGCCCATGTGTCAGTAGAGATGCATTGATCCAGCTTTTTTTATTCAGTTTCTTCCAATACCGATGTTGATACTTTGTTGTTTTGTATCTGCGATATCAACTGATACTAGGGCAGAAACTGAAAATATGTTTGCAACTATTATTTATCATTTAATGTAGCTACAGAACAACTTTATAATGTGTTTTGGAACAACATAACAGGATATAAACTGAACTGATATCTTGCAACCTATGTCCGATCTGTTAAAAATGCCAATATCAGCGCCAATATTCAATACCAGTATCGTATCAGTACATCCCGAGTCCTCAGTGCATCAGATTTGTCTTGTATGTCATGCACACAATCAGTCAGCAAATTATTTTCATGATCTTTAAATATCAGTTATTGTTTTCGGCTCCAAAAAGCTATTGCACTGTAACTTTTGTGGTCGGAGGGTTTGACGCCTGCTCGTCTACATGGAGATGTTATTGCTTTGCTTATAACATATTCCAAAGTATGGCATTAAATGTAACTATCTCCAAGCCGCATGTTGCAGGTCAGATCTGTGGAGACTTAAGACAAGACAAAAAAAAAAAAAAAAAAGAAAAAAGAAATTGAAATTGAATAAATGCAAGATAGATAACTTTAATGCCAAACAATGAGACATTCCAGAAGACAATGAGGAGGTGAAACACGCTAGAATAGTTATATTATGCATTTAAAAATCTAATTAAGGCAAACATATATGACATACATTCTTAAAATAAAAAGCATTGTAGTAAGCTTATGTTTACGTTGTGTTTATAAAATTCAGCTCAAACTCCACCAAAGTCTACAAGAATATCACAAAACAGGTTCAGTGAACCTGTGACACATTACGATGAGATTAAATGAGTCTTGCACGTAAATATTTTAATTTAATAACTTTGTAAGCACACTTGCCTTGTTGAAGACGGAGCGGTAGAGCACGTAGCGCAGCTCACTGGGGCCCTCCTGTGGACACTTCAGGTATCGCTTCTCGTGTTCAATAAAGTCGTGCAGAGATTTTACAAACTTCTCTTCACTGTCACAGTCCAGAATCTCAGGCGTCAAAACTCGTTTTCCTTTTCCTGGACACACGCGGGACTTTCTTGGGGTTGATGTCATTATGTTTTCCCTTATAACTCGAGACAGAGATAGTTTTTACTGCTTATTCGTGCTGGACTGTTGCTCAGATTTTGGTCTTGGTGAGGGACCAAGACCAAAAGTGGTGGTTGCTAGGTTACCAGGTAACTTTAACGGCATGATATATAAATAAGGAAGCAAAAGGCGTTTCCATGGTAACCTATTGTTAAGAATGCCCTGTTACAGCATGTATGTTGTGACGGTAGACTCAGGAACTCGAACTAATGAACATTTTAATGTTCATCTCATTAGTTTTATCTAATGTTCTATCAAACTAATGTGAACAAATGTTGAACATTTGTGTTAATAAATTCTTCTTTTGAAGTGAAGTAAACAGAATAAGTCTCGATATTTGTGACTCACAAGCAGTTTAATTCTGTATTAAAAATAGACCTTTGCAGCGTTTTAGGTTGAATATGCGTGTTCATAAGAGAAAAAAAATCTGACAAACAGGTAGAGTTCCTGTATAAGTAATTCAAAGTGCTTTACAGAATAAGAAATACATTAAAATCACAATACAAACAAATCAAAACATAAATGATCATAATAAAATTTAAGAGAGAGAGAGAAAGAGAGAGAGAGAGAGAGAGAGAGAGAGAGAGAGAGAGACATTAAATGAGAAGAGTTAGGACAGAAATAGGACACGATAGACCATTTTATGTAAATTTAAATACTTTTTATGCCCATTTTATGTCCATTTAAATACTTTAATCAAATATTGTTGTGGCCCTGTTTTTACATTATTTATAGTGTACTTATTATTACCAGTTTATTTATAACATGTCTGCCAGAACAAGACATCTTTACTATACCAACATAGAACTATAATAAAATATATAACTATGATATAACTATAACTATAATAACTATAACTATAATAAAATAATACAAGTTTTTATTATAGATCCATGGTTACCATGGGCACGGTCGCTCTAGTTCCTTATGTGTCCTTTTTACGTTTGTTTTTTTTTTTTTGCATTTTATTTTTTGTTGTTAAGTTGTTAACGCTCTGATCCAAGTAATATTTTGTATAATGTAGTATATAATTATAAGTAAAAACAGAGAAACATGTGGAATTTCCTTGTATTTGATCAGGCAGTGTGAGAGCCGCCTAAGCCCGTGCACACGCCTGTAGAAAACCCCGTGGCTCCGATGGAAAGTCCTCTTCTCATGATCCGCCATTAGGAGCACACCGGTGGTAAGTCTGGCTCTGAGGAAAACATTATTATTAACCAAATAAGACACTTTGGACTGTCCATATTGATATAAACAGTGAGACTAAAGTCCTGTGCGTGTGTCCCGTGCAGGTGGATTGAACGGCAGGATGCAGATTTTCGTCAAAACCCTCACGGGGAAGACCATAACCCTCGAGGTGGGTAGCGGAGCTGTGATGGAGCTGGAAATGTGCTAGTGCTAAAGCGGCGCTAGTTCATGTTGTACTGCACATATTCACTAAACTCACGTCCCTGGCCCTATTTAAATACCAATTCAGCATTGATCCAATAAATAACTCAAAAACACGTTTCTAAAATGATCGTCCTCTAATAATTTTCGGGCAGAGCTAATGGGCTAAGCTAACTTGCATATCCGCAGCATGATCCGCAATGCTACACGTGTGACACTCGAGCCAAAATAGTTTCACAGGTTCAGTCGCCCAGGAGTCCAGCTCGGATTAAAGTGGCAGAACATATTGTGTAGTAGCTGTCTTGACAATTTTACTGATCTAAGGTAGTCTGATTTCTGTCTTCTGGTCTGTTCTCTTCTCCAGGTTGAGCCTTCAGACACTATTGAAAATGTCAAGGCCAAAATCCAAGACAAAGAAGGTAAAGTGTATTGAACGCATTTAATTCTAATGAACTGAATACATGAGCTATATAGTTGACTTTTGCCCCAGGCCCCATACTCACATGTGTTTTTGTGCAGGCATCCCTCCTGATCAGCAGAGGTTGATCTTCGCTGGTAAGCAGTTGGAAGATGGGCGCACTCTGTCAGACTACAACATCCAGAAGGTAAGGGGCTGTGAAACACTGTTAAACATGGAGTTAATATTTACAGAACTAAAATCTACTGTAATCCAAATAACATTGAATGGCATAAAGTTTAGGTGTAATCTTAATGATGACAAAGTGTTTTCATCATAAAATGACAGTTTAAATATGGGAAAGATGCAGTCATGTTTTACATAGTGCCAGCCTTTACAAACAATCAGGGATCTACTGTAAAACTACTGTTATGGAATATGCTGATGTGTTGTCCTTTTAGTAACTGTTCTAATGTTTTTTAGATTTAGCATTAATGTTTTTTTTGCTAGAGTAACGTGTATTGCAATTTGCAGTGACTTAATTTTTTGCTACAGTTGATGTTGAGCTAATTGAATACGCAATTAAAACGTAAAATTCCCCACATTGTGACCTCAGCAGTTATGGTTATAGAAATGAATCCTCTATAATTTGCCTGAAAGTATTTAAATTTTATTAAGACTAAAGTAAATGTTGTTGTAATAACAGGAGTCTACTTTGCACTTGGTGCTGAGGCTGCGTGGTGGTGCCAAAAAGAGAAAGAAGAAGTCTTACACCACCCCCAAGAAGAACAAGCACAAGAGGAAGAAGGTCAAGCTCGCTGTGCTCAAGTACTACAAGGTTAGCTGCTCTTTGTGATTACATGGTGACCCCAATGGTTTTACACTGGAGGTCCAAGCTGCCACTGTCCAGAATAAACTCTGAAGTCTCTAACTCTGTGCTTGTTCTTGTTCAGGTGGACGAGAATGGTAAGATCCACCGTCTGAGGCGGGAGTGCCCTGCTGATGAGTGTGGAGCTGGAGTGTTCATGGCCAGTCACTTTGACCGTCACTACTGCGGAAAGTGCTGCCTCACCTACTGCTTCAACAAGCCCGAGGACAAGTAAAGGGCTGCAAGGACGTTTAATAAAGAAAATGTTTGACTAAAAACAAGTCTCATGTTTTTGTCAATGACATAATCACCTGTCAAGTGTACTAGGAATTATAACGTGTGAAAAATAAAAGTAAATGCCAGACTTGTAACCAAGATTTGACTTAGTGGTGACCTATATTGCATTTACAAAATATGCCTGAAAATCTGTACCACACACATAAACTTATTGAAGTGAGTGACCTTAGATCAAACCTCATTTTTGTGTTCACTGCCTAAGGCTTTTGACCTAATTTAATCTTTCTTACATTATAATAGATTGGGGTAGCAAATATTTTATAAAAACTTGCTCATGAGAATTTGTTAAAGGGGCAGGTTTACAAAGTCAGTCTTCAATTAGGTAAACCAGCCCTTTTAACGATCTTTATTCGACCTTTGGCCTAACTGTAGATTGTGAGACAAGATATTGGACTTCGGTTATTGTGGAAATGTAATTGTCTAAATGCAGGTATATGGCATTTTCCTGAACTGAAGATTCATATAAAATGTTAAAAGTAATTAGTTTGCCTTTTATGTAAATTACATTTTGATGCGCTATGCTCCATGTGAATATATGGTCATATTAATCTTAAATTAACCTTAAAGAAAATATTCCAAAAGCAATTGTAGTTAATGTATTAAACTTGATGTGTTTTTATGTGGTCAACCTACCTGCAGTAGTTCTAAGTGTCACCAGGAGGCGCCAGACCCCACTTTGGGAAAAGCCTTTAAGATATCTGAACATGACTTTTTAAAATAAAGAGACAAAGAGACCATCGGTTGTGTACTAAAATAAGGTTATTTACTTAAAAATCATTACAATGGACAGACTGTATACAGTTTTTCCTTGGTAAACTCATAAGGCACCAAACCAGATGCTGTACAAAACACCACCAAAAATCATGTACATATTAGCGATTATTCTATACTGGGGGTCCTGCATATTCAATACATATGATAATACAGCTGTCAGCAAGACACGCCCACACACACACTCAGAGAGGACAGCAGCTATAGGCAATGGACTGCAAAATACACTTCTATATGAAATGTCTAATTGGTTTGTATTATAGTTTTGTTCTAATTGTCTTTGTCTTAGGCAGGACTGGTAGGTTAGAACGTCCCACTATTCAATTGTCTATAACCTTGAAAATTAAATGATTTAGGAAGTTATTCCTCACTTGGACACTTCCCCATATAAATCCACAGAGATAGCTTATTTTGCTCCCAAACTTGTCATTAAAGCTACTGTCTGCATGTTTCATTTTTTCACCAGTTCAGGGCAATACAAAACTGGCACACTATCAGACTGCGGTGATGTTGATAGCATCTAGTGGAGATATGTGAGAATACAAAGCAATCTAATGACAAATGGTAGCTTTAAAATTAACCTGATTGTCTTTGTACAACTCCAACAAGAGGACTTTCCAACATTTTTTCTTTCTTTTTTTCGCATACGGTATATTTATTGTGATGAGAACACTTACAGCTGCTGTCCACTCTCCACGCTCTCTCACGCACTCACACAAACAGGACAAATGCTGTGGACAGACAGACGGGACGGGAGACGTTTCCGTGGTAACCCCTTTTACGTACATATCTCTCAGAAGTCATCGGACGTCAACACCACTGCAGCGAAGTCTTTCCAAAATCTCCTTATGATAGGCACGGCATCTAACATTTATTTACATAACAGAATTCACATATCTTAATAGTACCTTATTCTTATACTTAACTCTACTTTAAGAGTGAGATATATTTCATTATGGCAGGAGAGCACAGTCCTGAAGAGTCATCCAGAAAACTAAACAAATTGGCATTTTTTTAAAACAGGCAAAAGTCCAGGATGCCGAGGTTCTTAAAAACACAGATGATTGAACACATGTGCACTCCTCCCTCCTCAGCCGCACACAGTCAGATCCACATGTCTGGAGGCTTTCACAGAAAGCGTCATAGCAGAGAGCGCCCCCTGGAGTCCAGAGGAGAACGTGAGGCACATTCAGTCCTACACGGTGCCTTAGTTTAGTCCCTTTAGTCTCTGGTTGTACTCGTAAGCTGGGGCGGTCCAGTCCAGCGGTGAGGGGGCAGAGGAGGAGGGGGGGGCACAGGTCAAATCTTGATGTCCTGAGACTCCACCATCTTGCCCAATGTCTTCTTCACTCGGAGGATAGTGAGGCGGGAGGCAGGGTTATGGGCCCAGCACTCGGACATCAGCTTCAGCATGGCTCGGAGGCACTGAAGGGAAAGAACGTAGACATGGTCAGGACAGATCAATAACTTTTCTGGTGGAGGGTCCACCACCAGAATGCCTTATGCCTTGATTAATCCACAATATGAAAAGAAACCTGGTAATCACAAAGTAGACAGGTTATGCATGTTATGCATTCTTGTGGATTTAAAACTATTTTAAAAGATGCTTTTGGTCATATTAGGTTAAGTATTTCACATTTCGATAACTTATAATGAGCTCCCTCTGCTGTCAGCAATGCAAATTAACAATGGAAAACTAAACAATTGATGTTCTTCTCCCTCGTAATGCTATGCTGACAGAGCCATGGGGTTGTGGACACAGTTTGACCACAGAATGAGTCCAGTGATGAGTCCAATGATGTTTATTGACTTAGATTAGACTTCTCTTGTCCAGTTTCTATGATGCAACTAAACTGGTAAAATGCAAACATCTAGCATTTTTAAGTGCTCAGAGAAGACGACTTTGGATTAATTAATGAAATGAATGAAAATGATAATGAAATGAAGTGTGAATGAAACTAAACATACCAAACCAAGCAACTCCAAGCATGTTTGTGATGAGAGGACAATATAACATGGTTAAAAACTCAAAAAAGTCATTCATTCATTAATGTGTGTCCTCATTTGGGCACAGTGTGTACTAGTGGAGTGGAGAAGAGGAATACTTGTATGCTGTTTTAATCTAGTGTGTCTATAAATAATGTGCAGTACTTTCTAAACAGATTTTGTGTAATACTGTTCTATAAATAAACGTGACTGTACCGGACAGTGTATGTGGTGGGAGCATAGACTGTATAAACAAGTGGACTATGGGAGTGTGACGTCACCCATAGCACTCAGCTCCAGTCAAATGAAGCTCACAAGGTTTAGCAGTTATAGGAGCAAATTTGGAGTTGAGTTCTATATTAGGAATAGGAATGTATTTATGGACAAAATAGAGAAATAAAAACACCAGGATCGTGTAGTCGATGGAGCCGGAAGCGCCCCCATGCTCACTTCCTATTTGGAATGCGGCAGCTAGAAGGTTAGCTATGTCCATTTATATTATACAGTATGTACAGTCAACGGGAGCGAGCAGGTCTCACCTCATCACTGTTCCAGCGGTTGGACACTGTGGGCCTCAGTCCCTTGACACACCACCTCCAACATGTCTTCATAGGAGGGATCTGAAGGCACCATGTCATAGTAGGGCAGCTGGTAGTCCTCCGCGATACCTGCCAGAGAAGAAGGATTAGTGTTAGTGTTCTGAATGTAGTTAATATTACAGGCAATTACTGGTTTAAGATCAAGGAGGATTGTCCATTCCCATGCTAAATGAATTTTAAACAAGAACTTTGAAGTATAAGTTCTTGTTAATTTTATACCATGTTTTTCCCTGTTGTGCTAAATCATTTATCATGTTAACAGTGCACAATGTAACTTTTCCAGTACAAGTCCAGCGCCTGGTTTTGTCCATGGAGATATGCTAGGGCAGGGGTGGGCAATTATTTTTTCCATGGGACCACATGAGAAACAGAAAATATTGTGGTGGGTTGGGTCAAAATGCTTAACTCAATTCTGCATAATATTAATAGTATTTCTTTATGAGAAGCAGTAAATGTCATTGTTTTGATGAGCTGGTCAGACTGGTTAAGAGTTGAAGCAATGAAAAAGTGAGGCTGCCTTATAAAAAATGTCATTAAAAAAAAAAACTACTCTAAAATAAAAGCAATGCACCTTTAGTCCATGCATGAGATAAACTTATAAAACATGTTTATTTTCTAATTCTAAATGAACTTAAATGGGCTGGTGAGTGTCAACCAAAGGGTCGTATGTGACCCAGGAGCTGTACAATGCCCAAGTCTGTGCTAGGGAGATTGCATTCCCTAGTATGTACCACAGTATGGCATTAAACTTAAAACTACAGTAAACTTATTATGTAATTATAGATTAACTATAGACTAAACACCTTCAAAAAACTGCCTAAAACACACCTTTTCCTCACAGCCTACAGCCCCCACACACGACTGCTCCTCTTTACTGTTTTGTCTGTCCTGTCCTTGTTTTAGTGTTACTTTATGTGAAGCGTCTTTGTGTTACCGTGAAAAGCGCTGTATAAAACAAATGTATTATTATTATTTTTTTTATATTTTACAATAAAACAACACCTTGAACAACATGAATTTTACCGTAAGCAATCACAGTTCTCCACAAATCAGACCTCGGATCAGCAGACTGCTTGTCTCCATAGAAATAGATAAGTTTAATATTACGGTATGAAAAATCCTAGGCAAGCAACTTCTCCATGGTGGCGGACCCTCCACCCGGAAAGTTACACAGTGCACCTTTAAGTGTATGGTCACACAAAGCGATCCTTTACCTGCTCTTTTTGTTTAGTTAAAAAATTTGGAATTTGGAAGTTGGAAAGTGGTTCATTAATGTGAAATAAATGCTTTTTAACTTCAAACAAATGCCCTGAAGTTCTTTCTCTGCTTATTTTCCAGTTAAGGCAGACTAGTTTAATATTACAAAAGATTATATTTAATGACAGATGTAGATTCTAAACAGTAGAGCAGTGCGTACCTCCAGTGACACAGCGGCGGGCCATCTCCCACACCACTAGGCCGTAGCTGTACATGTCGGCCATGATGTAGGCCTGGAAGTGGTTCTTGTTTAGGGTCTCGTCCAGGACCTCTGGGGCCATGTACCTCCTGGTGCCCACACGGTTACTCAGGGGGATGTCCACGTCATTTGTATCACTGGAAAATAACAAATATATATGCTTGAATATTCTTAATAGGGTTGAAAGTTTAACATGAATCAAAATGAAGTTGCAAGCTGAACGGTTATTAAGTGTAATACAATCACCACAAACAGTACAATCACATTTCTATTTTATGTAGTTTAGACCTTTAAAAACGAAAATGCATGGGACTTGTATTAGTTTATTATTATTACAAGTGTTCGTGCCACTAGATCTCACGAAACAAAATTGCCACAAGATACACACATGAGAAAAAAATTATCTCCAGAGATTTCAAGATCCAAGTGTTTACATTTGGACTGGACAAAAAGGGGTTGCGTGTACATCTCTTACAGTTCCAAAAAGCAGTACTATAATGGAAACAAAAATATTAAAATCAAATAAATTAAAAAATGTGTGGTCAAAATTAAATCCTCAAATGTATATACTAGGAATTATTTTAAAATCTTGTCTTGTCTCGTTCTTGTGGACCCAATCGTGTCTCGTCTCATCCCGATTGTTGTTGTTTTTTGTTGTTTTTTTTATACAAGCATTTCTGGTCGCAACCATATTACTTTAAATTAATTTGACTAAAACCATTCTGCTCAAAACTCATTTTCCATCCAGATGCTTTAAGTTAACTTTTTTTTTTTTATCTTTATCCGGTTCAAATGTATTTTAAAAATCTTGCTATAGAAGTGAAGAAATAACCAACAAGTCGACTACTGACCCTAAAGTATTGATTTTCAACCAGTGTGCGCCTTGGTTAATTCACACGTGCATTTAACTGAATAATCATCATTCCCAAATAAATGAAAAAGACACAAAGGCAAAGAAAAAAATCTGCACTTCCTCCAAAAACGTGTAATTCGGTCATCTTTAGTGGATGGGTAAACTTTCTAATTAAGAAAGCTGCGACTCAAGAAGGGTAAAAACAAAAAACAAAACACTGGTCTAGAGTATGGATAGACAGATACAATGGGCTGATATTTTGACTTTTTATCTTATCTGTTATTAGCCTTAAATCTCCAGCACAGGCCAGTCTTTAGTTTTGGGTGACCTGCTGCCTAAAAATTCCCATACAGCATTATTTGAACACTTGAGTACAAAAACATAACTGCTGAAAATGTGACTACACAGCTCTCTTATGGGTTTGTGGTGAAAAAAGGGCTGTGGGAGAGTTTTTAGTAAATTTAAATTACATCATTTGGTGAAAACAATCAAAATCAGCCCCATATATATTGGCCCAAAAATCTCAGTGGTGACTGGCCATGGGTTTCTCTGGATTCAAAACAATCGCTATGAATATTGGCCATGAAAAAACCCACACTGGTTAATCTCTAGTGCAGAGGGCTCCGTTTCTCAACACAAAATCACAAATTACAAACACAAGAGTCATATAAAAAAAAATAACAAAAATATATTCTAAAAGGTAAAAGATAAACGCACCTGTTGAACTTGACGGCCAGCCCCAGGTCAGCGATGCAGCAGGTCCCATTCTTCTTGACTAGGATGTTCTTGCTCTTCAGGTCCCGGTGTGCGATGGCGGGTTTGCCCTGGGTGCCGTAGATCTCAGTGTGGAGGTGGCACAGTCCACAGGCAGCAGAATACGCCAGTCTGAGCAGGGAGGCAGTGTCCAGGGTGCTCTGCTTCAGGTAATCGTACAGGGACCCGTTCTCGTGGAAGTCTGTGATGAGGAGGAGCTGCATGTACGCGCCAGAGCTCTTAATGTCCGCCGCGATGAAACCTGGAGGAGAAAGCGGGGCAGGACAGGTCAGAGGAGACAGCTTATCTATTTACAGAAGGTAGTCTTTCTTTTGTTCTCATTTAATGCTTCAATTTTAGCATAAAAAATATAATGCTCAGAAAAATGGGAAAAAAACCCAAAACATCCATATAACTTCAAATCTCTAACAGGTCCAAAAAACAAACATGACTCTTATGAGTTTTAAGCCATGTTCTAATGTTGTTACCTCATCAAAAACATCTATCTAAGCAAATAAGTGTAGCAATTGCAGATTTTCTTTCTAAAAAAAAAATACGCTAGCAAAAACTGAAAGAAGAAAAAATAACTTCACCATTTCAAATATTTAAAAGGTCCATTATTACACAAACATAACTCTTGTGAGCTTTAAGCCATGTTATAATGTCATGTCATCAAAAACATCATCATCAATTGTGGATTTTAATTTGTTTTCTCCTTTGTTTTTTTCTCCTAACAAAAAACAGTAACATAGCAAAAACCGAAAAAACAAAACAAAACATTCAAATAACTTTCCTATTTCAAATTTTTAAAAGGTCCTATATTACACAAACATGACTCCTGTGAGCTTTAAGCCATGTTATAATGCTGTTACCTTTTCAAAAACATACCTGGAGTTTTTGTTTATGTACACATGTTTGAGTAATCCTGGTCTATTATCTCCAAAGCTCAAAATGTTCTGCTCCACCTTGTGATGTCATGAAGCTGTAATTTTCAAGTTAACAGCTACCTTTTAAGTTTAGTTTAGTAAAGATTGCCAATTCCAAGGCTGAAATTATTCAAATGATTCTAATGAAGGTGTATGAAATTTAAAATCACAGTGGAGCTATTCCTGTATTACCATTTGACATCACAAGTTACAAGTGTTTTCAGTTTGAGAAAAAAACTAAATATGCAGGATTTATGAGTTAAACATGTGTGAAAGCAACAAAACACAGCTCCAGGTTCTGTTTTTGATGAGGAAACATTATAACAAATCAGAAAATAGCTCAATCTGGACCCTTTCACTGCAATATATGAATCTATTCCTGGTATCCCTAATGCTAAAATGTGCTCAAAAATATAAGAGTAGCTTCAGAAACCAGAGAGTAGCAGAAAAAGCTCTTCTGTCCTCATATTAGACAAAGAAATCCACTGCAGTCCCATATTTCTCTGTGTCCTCAGGATGCCCTAACGCTGTGTCTGTAAGTGCACTAAGTCATTGCCAGTGTGTCTGCTCCACATGTGTCTCCACAGATTCAAACTCAGTCTCAGGGTTATTGATCGGTCTGGAGTCTGCTGGTCTGGCTCTGGGCAGGGCAAGTCTCTCTTTAACTTACTCTATTCCACTTTTTTTTTCCTCCATGCACTTAACTTTTTCAAAATTAGAACATGTTGCACTAAGAAATGTAAATGAAGACTTAATAATAAAATCATAATAAAACCACTCTGTAATGGACAATCTTGATAAATTGAAGCATACTTTAAGTGGCCCATATTAAATTATTTTCTGATCATCAAAAATATACCTGGAGTTGTGTTTGTTTCATTCTCACATTTTTAAAACTGCATATTCTTTTCTCAAACTGAAAACACTCTGTTCCACCTTGTGATCTGGTAATACAGGAAGCGCTCCACTGTGTCTTTAAACTCCATATTCCTTCACTAGATTAGGATAGTTTCAGCCCTAGATTTTCCAATCTCCAAAGATTCCAAAAGCCGGTAACTTGAAAAATATCCCTACATGACATCACAAGGTGGAACAGAGCATTTTGATCTTTGGAGATGTAGACAGACTCATATTTAAGGGTTACTCAGACGTGTGTGAATAAAACAGAACACAACTCCAGTTTTTGAGAAGGTAACAATATTCTGACATGACTTAATCTACAACGTGTCTCCTTTATTATTAGTCTGTCTACATCTTCAGAGCTCACAATACTCATAACATTAATCAGAAAATTGCATAATATGAGCCCTTTAAGTGTAAATAACTGTTGAATCTCTATTTTGATGTTATATTTATCTTATCTGTGTGTGAGTGTGTATGTGTGTGTATATATATATTAGAGCCCGACCGATATGGATTTTGCTGTGGCCAATATGAAACCGATATAATGGGAGTTGGAGCTGCTGATAGCCGATATAATCGCCGATATATTTAGTGATGTAAAAATTCACTGTAAATGTTGAATTGTTTAAAAAACTTAGGTTTGGCTCTGATGGATTTTAAATTGGGTTTATTTTGGCAACATTTATTGTTATTCTGCCTCTTTACATCATATTTACAGACAGTAGGTTGGCTTAATGGCATTTTTGCATCACATTCTAGACACTAGTGATGGGTATTCCAGTTCTTTTTAGAGAACCGGCTCTTTTGGCTCGGCTCACTAAAAGCTGCTGGTTCTTTTGGCTCCCAAGCGGCTCTTCAGATTGTTTTGTTGCAAGCAAGACTAAAGCACGTCTAAAATAGGACTGAATCAGGACTGAACCAGGTCTAAACCAGGCCTGAAAAAGGACTAAACCGGGACTTATTTATTTTATGCTAAACTACAGCCAAATATGCTCGTTTTTTGTGTTTTTTTTATCCTATGTACACGCAAATTTCTCAAAGTTTCGTTTTCAGCCGCTGCCGCTGTCAAACCACGAGTCTGCACGCGGCGTGAAGAGAAAAAAAGTGAGAGAAAGAGAAAACACGGCTCCCAATAAGGATCAGGCCCCGTCGTTCGCTTCATAAAGCCGGCTCTAAGAGTAATTTTTTTCGCGACGGACCCATAACTAGTAAATAAAGTAGCGCTATTAGCCTTTAGCCGTAAATGCTGCGCGCCGCGGTAATTAATTATATGCACAAATGTCATAATTCACACGTCTATTCACAGCTCATTTACATATCAGTGCAGGTCCAGTAGCAAATATACGGCCAATATAGTCACTTTACAATAGACCAATAGAAAACAGCCTGTTTATGTGCGAGAGCTACAGCAGCTAACCCATAACGAATGACCAAAACTAGCTTCAAAGTCGACATATTTCCAACACTCACCGCTCATACAGGCTCCTCTCACATCACAAGTCTGCACTAATAAATGTCCTTTTAATTCAGACTCAAACCGATTGTCCGTAAAAAGAATATAATCTCAGTGTTTGGATCTGTATCTGCGGGGGTAAACAAACGCAGGTGAGTGACGCGACTCTGTGGTGTGTTCAGGGACAGTACGGACACACACAGACAAATGACTCTGTAGATAAATACTGATGTGGAGCCACATATTAGGACATTTATCTGTCTGTAAATTGGATTAAATGAACATAATGTAGAGAGTCTAAGATTTTTAACGACGTATCACATGCCCACTTGAAATATCGGCTCCTATCAGCAAGCATATCGGCCGATAGCCGATATGCCTCCATGTGCCCATATCGTCCGATAATATCGGCCAACCGATATATCAGTCGGGCTCTAATATAAAATATATATATATATATGTGTGTGTGTGTGTGTGTGTGCGCGTGCGTATACACACATACACACACACACACACACACACACATATATGTATATATGGCCGTACCTAAGATGTTGTCGTGTCTCATTAGCACAGTCTGGTAGATCTCGGTCTCTCTGAACCAGCTGGTCTCCTCTCGGGTGAAGAACACTTTGACAGCCACCTTCTCTCCTCTCCATCGGCCCAGCCACACCTCCCCGTATCGGCCTTTTCCGATCTGACGCACCATCTGGATCTGCTTGGCGATGGTTCTCTGCACCTGAACACAGCGCACATGTTTTCATCGGTAAATAAATACCACTAATTTGCAATAAAATACAAGTGGAAGTTTTGCTATAGAGTTTGGTATTGTGTATCACTGTTAAAAGGATCCAAGTTTGGAAAAGTTTGGACAGATAAAACCACACTTTGGAAACAAACAGGAAGAGGCCCTCCTCCAGACCAAATAAGTCAGTTTTGAGGAGATGCATGTGCACATGTTTTTCCATGTTTTCCAGTGCAATAAAAACATCTATAATGAAAAACATGTTTTTATTTTGGTCTACTCTTTGTTTAAAAAAAAAAAAAAAAGTTACATACTGTGGCTTGAAACCAATGGAGATGCTAAATACTATCCTTAGCATTCATTCAAAAGTATTCAGACAGTGTGATAAATGAGGGTGTTCTGAAGTGCTTTTGTTTACTTTGTATTTTTGCTAATGAATCTCCATGGAAACAGTAAGGTACATTTTTTGAGGTTGGATCCAGAGCACTATTGCTGGGTTTCATATAGCATAGCATCTATACAATGAACTTTTATTGTGTTTTGGATTATAATTATTCAATTAAACAAATATAATAATTAATATTTCTTCTCAAAATACTATATGTAGCATTTGAATACTAACCCCTATGATACCAATTTTCCATAACAAAACTGGATTATATGCCTATAAAAATGAAGAATATTCAAACATAACGGTGCCATAATATGCAGCCCCCTGTACTCACCAGCAGAGGGAGCCCTGAGCCTGAGCCCGAGCTTTGGGACTGGTAGATGAGGTCCTTGAGAGACTCTCCTGCAGGGATGAACACTTCCTGCTCCAGGTCTTTGTGGTAACGCTGACGCTCACTCTGCCATTTGTACCTGAACAACAACAAAGACAGCTCTATTTAGTCATCACAGTGCATTTCTGTTGAGTTCTGTTTTACTGAAAATATTACTTTGAGAACTAGCTGGAACAAAATATTTTCAGGCCCGTGTGTACACTTTCCTTTGCAGTAATGGGGAGATTTTTGTTATTTTAGTTGGAATAACACAAGGTATGAGCAGTAGAGAGTTGAATAAGTAACTTTTATGGCTTGATTCTGCTATTCATTTGTTGCAGCTCAGGCCTTTTAATGATACTGTATTAAAATATGGTATAATAAAATGGTTCACTGGGATTAACCTGCTTTACTGTTACTGTGTCAGCATTATAGTTTATAGTGATATTTCTTTTTAGCAATACATCGTGCTTTAAATTGTGTTATCGTGACAGGCCTAATTGACTAGTGACCAGAGACTGTATAAAGAAGTGGACTAAGTGAATATGACATCACCTATAGCATTCGGCTCCAGTCAGATGAAGCTCACTGGAGCAAGCAGTTATAGGAGTGAATTTGTAAAAATAAAAACAACAGGATATTATAGAGCAGGTTGATATGAACGTTTTAAGCCCAAAGCAGCAGGTAGTGGGTTAGCTACGTCCATTCAGTCTATGCTACTGACGGACTCATTCACACTGTATAATTAATGACTACTATAAAATAATATACCATTATAAACTTTTTTTTGAACTATCATTTCTTTATTTCATTATTTAAAAGGTACTCTGCAACTTTCCAGTGGATTCACAGCTTGTCTCTATGGAGATTTTTACTGCCATGGAAAAATATGCATGCCTCGCCTCTCCGCAGTCATGACCTGTAACTTGACCTGGTGGCCTTAACTTACCTCTTCATGGAGATACACAAGTTTAATGCCCTACTGTAGAACATTCCAAAGCAATCTCCATTGAGACAAGCAAGTGCTGGACCAGAATGTTTCATAAATATACCTTCTTTCTTTTATTCCAATCTAAAGAGTTATTTCCAAGTTTATTTAATCTAAAAATTACCCTCCTGAAATCCTTGTAATTATATTGGTCATTTATAATCATAATTACAGAGTCAAACTGACAGCCCTAGTTAAGCTGTTTGTAACTCAAGTAAATAAATAAGTACCTGTAGTAGCAGACCACAGTGATACAAATGAGTGTGCAGCAGCAGACGGTCATAGAGATGAGGAAGGCCAGCCAGTGAGGGTTCCCTTCTGAGAAAGAGAAAAATATCAGCTCACAAACATGGCCCCATTTTCAGATCTATGTTCTAATGCTTTTTCCTCATCACAAACAGACCTGGAGTTGTGTTTTGTTTCATTCACACATGTTTGACACACAAACCCTGCAGATTTTCTCTCAAACAAACAAAAAAAAAAATCTTCCACCTAGTGATGTCATGTGGTAATACAGAAGTGCTCCACTGTGTATTCAGCAGATTTTTAATAGTCACATTTTTATACAGCACTTTTCAACCTCCAACGTACTAATTGTGCTTTACTTCAAGGAACCACTCACCTATTCACACACACATTCATGCATCAGTGTACACAGACACAGGGGGCAAGGTGGGTTAAGTGTCTTGCCCAAGGACATAACAGCATTGATCTGTGGGATCTGGAATCAGACTGCCAACCTGTGGGCTAGTGGACAAGCACTACCAACTATACTAATGCTGCCCTATTTTAACTACATACATCTTCACTAAAATATTTGGATTCTATTATGTATTTCTCTACAGAACTAAAGGTAAAAGGAGCTGTTAACTTGAAAACTACCACTTCATGACATCACAAGGTGGAACAGGGCATTTTGAGTGTTGGAGATGTAGACAGACTATTAACACAGTGCTGTTCAAACATGTGCCAATGAACACAAACACAACACAAACACAAAACACAACTCCAGGTTTGTTTTCGATGAGGTAATCACACTGTAACATGACTTAAAATTCTCAAGAGTCAGTTTTGCATAATATAAAGGCCAATTTACAGTCCAGTGTCAAATTGTCTGCGTCACAACACAGAGTCTGTGTCGACGCATACCCCCTACGCAGATCCTCTGCGTCGATCAATGTGCAACTCCGAAATTTTCTAACTACGCGTCGAAACGACGCAGACAGCAGAGGAAGCGACGCAGACAATAAGGGCTGTGATTGGTCCTCCCTACCACTGCATTACAGACATTTCCTGTACTCTGCTTTCCTTTCTTTCAGTATACATTGAGAAATAATGTGTTTAATGCAGCTTTGCGCATATGTGTTTATGTTTTACAGAAACGAAACTTAAAACCGCACGGCTAACTTGCCTAAACTAAGTGCTCAAAAAACAGATTGCTATTGTGCCCTGACGTGGTTCAGCTTCTGTCGGACTTTAAAAGGAAAAGACTCAGTGGAATATGAGTGTTCTTTCTGTGACAGAGGGATATTGTACTCATGAGTCTGTTCTGTGCTTTTATTGTGTCGGAGATGGAACTTTTCAGAGATTATACGTCTGCAGGTCACACGCATAGACCGTATATATGAATGGACATATATCGTAGCCCCCTAGCGTTTTGGCGGTGGATTACTTCGCGGTGCACAGACCTCGATGCAGATCCATAAATCAAAAACAACGGCGACAAGGCGACAGCGGCAGTGCGCGTTGAGTCGACGCAGAACTATACTTCACCCTTAAGACCTTTAGTCATTTCTGTTGCCAGGTGTGTTCTGTCTTTTACCTGAAGGGGGCAGCGGTGGCAGAGTGGGCAGGAGGTCTCTATTACAGAAGTCTGTGTTACAGCATTCAATCGTCCTCCTGGGCTTAGCATAGCGAGAATCCTGTTGAATATTAATGTTATGTGAAAAATACAGCACTCCCAGAATTCTTATACAAGTAAAATATTTGAATGATTAATTTATTTTAATCACAGGTAGTCCTTACATTATTTCAGACAGTCATATTTAAATTGCACACATGGAAAAGGTGTAGGCTGAAACTTGAGCTCATTAGGCCTACCCTTTATTCCTTTGTCATAGCATCATTGTGAAACCAGTTCACTTCGTTTTAAAGTGGAAAAAAGTGGTTCACAATTTTAGGTCTTCTGCACAATTGTTCCAGAGGTCCACCCCTTTTACAAATATACAAAATTTCATAATGTTTGTTCTCTCCCTCTGAGCTCATATTGGCTTTTTTGAGTATAGTAAAAAAATATAATATAATACAATAGTATTTCTGTGTGTGTACTGTGTGTACTGTGTGTATTGTATGTACCTTGCACTGGAAATGCGAGCCTTCGTACTTCATACACCCGGACGTGATAATGGCGTCTCCGTGCTCGTCCTCCTCGATGATGGCAAAACACGCTCCATTTGTCCTGCACATACAAACACGTATGAGCATAAATGACACTTGTATGTATATGTATTATGACTCAATGACTTTTTTCCCATTCAAGAGACATAATATTTTGTTTTTAAATTGTCAGTCATTATGGCAATGGATCACATTTTTCATCATTTGAAAACTCATGAACAGAGCACATCTATGAATTTTCATTTCAGCCTAATGTTAAAGATGCACCGTGTAACATCTTGTGGAGAGTCCGCCATCGGCTAGTCTCTATGGAAATGTTCTTGTTTTGTCTAGAATGTTCCACAGTATAGATTAAACCTATATGACAAGGGAGACAAGCAGGTTACAGCACCACGCTAAATTACAGTTTAGATCTGTGGAGAGTTGCCCCTATTCACAGAAGGAATTAGAAACACCTGTAATAACAAAAACAATAACATCTCCATGGAAACGAGAGGTGGCGGACCCTTCACCAGAAACGTTACGCAGTGCACCTTTAAACTAATGGAAAATTTAAAACAGTAAACACGAAAATCTGCGTTCATTCAAAAGTTAATGCAATCATGGTCTAGGGATGCGCCGATCCGATACCGGTATCGGATATCGGCTTCAAATATTGGTTCAGTCGATATCCTGGTTGGGTCTATAAATGTATGTAATAAGCTGCATAACAATGGATCAGTTCGGTCTTATTTTATTTGTGTTAAAAGGAAATAACCGCTGTTTTCAGTCTCTGTACTGGTATCGGGATGATGAAAAACTGTAGATTCTACATTGAATTGAATTTGTATTGAATGTCATGCCTGCCTTCACTCCCCAGTATTGTTTGTACTGTAAGTAGAATGAGTCTGTTCTATCAACAATACTGTTATTTACTTATTTTTTTCATGTTGTGTTCATTCACACACTAACCCTGCATATTCAGGCTGAGTTCTTCTCTCAAACTAAAAACAGTCGAGCGTATGTGTGTATGTATGTGTGTATATGTATGTATATCTTGCTATATATTGCTTACATGCAGGTGCTGTTGGAAGCATCGTCAGGGCAGTGTCCGGAGCAGTAGCAGGTGAGGAAGCGGGCGGCATCTTCAGGGGCGATGGTGGATCCGTCTCCAGGGCGACGGGGCTCAGGTTTCACCCCGGTGCCCTGCAGGACGTGGTCTGGGTTCTGACCGGCAGCTACAAACACACGCAAGGAAAAGGCAAAGTCTATTGTTATTACAGTTACATCCAATCCACTTTATTTATATAGCACATTTTATAAACATGACTGCTCCCGAAGTGCTGCACAGACAAATTAAGACAGTGGAAGACAGTCAATTCTAAATAAAAACAACAAATAAAAAGCATTAGAATAAATAAAGTTAAAAGTTGTTAAAACTATAAAATGAATAAAAAATTGTATAAATATACAAATTTAAATAAATACAAGTTACATACATGACATAGTAAAGTGTTGGATGGTCAGAGGACATTGGTTGTATTTTATTCTCAGATGTTAGATAATACATGGATTGCAAATTGCTTTTTTCCTGCACTCTAGGAACAATACAGATGACTCAAAGGCTTTAAAGAAACTACCTGATTTTTACTGTCTTAAAAATATGAAAAACAGATCTAGTTTAAACAGCAGTGGTCCAAAGTTATTCCTCATTTACCTTATGCATCCTGAGCATCCTAATTATTCACCATAATGAGTTCATAAGCACTTTTCACAAAGATTGGACCTCTCAGTAACACTAACAACAAATGGCATGCTAACTGTGCATTTCTTGATTCTCATAAATAAACTACTTTAAATTTAGTTACAGAGACCACAGAGCAGACTTATTTTGACCTCAAGAGTTGTTAATACAATATATTTGTACGTGGACTTTGCACAAATAACATAACTTATTCTGTAAAATTAAACAGCTGCATTTAGCCTTTATTACTATGACTCCAGTAAAGTTCCTGTATTTCTGTCTATATATACTGACGATAATAAATAATTTGTTATGAAATTTTACACTAGTATTTACTCTCTGTGTCTACTGTAAATAACCATTCCAGACAGACTTGGCTGTGTCTGTAAAACAATACAGCGAGTAGAGGTGAGGCATTCTCCTGGTATCAGTGGGACAACAGACTGGAGCTCCTTATAAGGGCTAAGGGCTATTTATACTGACTCATACCACTCACTACAGTAACGCGCTCTATGGCTATTCTAATGTTTTTATTTTAATATTACACACAGTTTTCTCAAGACCACCTTCAATGTCAAGTACAATATCTCTTCACATTCAGATGACTTATTAAGGGCCCTTATTACACTATTTTCTGAGCAATTTTGTAATGTTTTCTCATCACATACTGCCCGGAGTTGTGTTTTGTTTCATTTCACACATGTTTAACGCAGAAATAAATCCTGCATATTTAGGCTGAGTTCTTCTCTCAAATGGAAAACTGTGAAAACTCTGTTCCACCTTGTGATGTCATCCCCTCCACTAGAAACATTTGGATAATTTCAGACCTGGGATTGCCCATCTCTGTTGACCTAAAGGTAAAAGGTAGCTGTGAACTTGAAATCTACGTCTTCATGACATCACAAGGTGGATCAGAGTATTTTGAGCTTTGGAGATATAGAAAGACTAATAATAAAGGATTATGCCAACATTTGTGAATGAAATAAAACACAACTCTGGTTTTGATTTTGATTAGATAATAACATTCTATTATGGTTTAAAGCTCACAAGACTTTTGCGTAATAAGGCTAAAAATAGTTGCTTCTTGCCATGAAATTAGGTTAAGCTGTGTATTAAAAACAGTTTGCACTCTTTATTAGGGAGATAATCTAAATATACTGGATCATTAACTTTGCACAAATTAAATAACTAGAACTCTAGAGCTATTATTACATAATTAAAAGCTAAAAACAAAGTACATTTTAGCAGAAAATAGTCCCTCTAATAGCGTCATCTTTGAACTGCGTTGCCCTCTTTACTCACAGTACAAACACTTTGAGGTGTAGGGATATGCTCAGCGTCGTGTCAGGACTTGAACTACCTGCACACCTACACTTTGGGCTGCGCCGGTTACTACGGTAACAGCCTGTCTGCACCCCTCGCCCCCACCCACCCCTCCCCCTCCTGTCTGCTCTTCCAAACCACAGAAGTTCTCCTCAGAGACTGGAGAGACGCCTGCTCGGGCTGGATGGTTTAGCCAGCGGGAGATTTGTCTGCACATAGACTCAATCATACTAATACTGACTGTACACACAGGGGGTTACAAGAATTAAGAATTAATTCTAAATAGCACATGCTTAAAAACTTGTATAACTAGTGATTTATAATGGTTCTATATGACTAAACTTAACTCTTGTGAGCTTTTAGTTATGTTTCAGTCACACACGTTTGAGCAATCCTTTATCATTTCTCTGTCCATATCTCGAAATCTCAAATGTTCAGTTCCACTTTGTGATGTCATGTAGTGGTAGTTTTCAGACCCCTTTTATTTTTAGTTCAACAGAGATTGAAAATTACAGGGCTGAAATCATCCAAATGATCCTAGTGAAGGTGTATGGAGTTTTAAGCAGTAGAACAAAACCTGTATTATTACCACATGACATCACAAGGTGGAGCGTTTTCTGTTTGAGCCTTTACATTTGCAGGATTATTCCTTAAACATGTGTGAATGAAACAAAACACAGCTCCAGGTATGTTTTTGATGAAGAAACATTACATAGATTAGGAAACAGTGTACTATAGGTCCTTTAAACACAGTTAACTTATTACAAAATTGATCAAATTGTGTGTGCAACTGTTATTTATTGTTCAAAACACTAAATAACAGGCTGTGAATGTGTGAAAGTTTATTATGAGATGTTCTGGGCCAAAATCAGCCTGTAAATGTTCTTATTACATCCAATTAAAGGCTCTGCTTAACCGATATGATGAGATCAATCCCGAATCCAGCAAGTTTTTAAGAATCTGCACTAATACCAGTATCGGTATCTGTGCATTCCTAATCATGACATGACTTGATTTGATTTTACTGATGTAACTGATGCAACAGTAGTATAATTTTGGCGTGTCTGCTACTCTTTTCAGACACTGGAACAGGACTACAAGATCATGGAGCTTTCAAACATCCCACAATATAATGAGCGTAAGGCAGAATATGTTTAGAAGTTACAGTTGTCTCTCTCGTGTGTTGTGATTGGCCGAGCAGTGGTGACAGCGTAGGGCGTGTACAGGCTGAAATGGCTGCCTCCTCTTTCTCTATACGTGTGTGTATGTGTGTGTGCATATGTGTGTGTTGGAGCGCACATGTGTGTTTAATTGTGCCGGCAGTCGGAGTGGAGACTGAGGTCTGGCACACGGCACTCTGGGTAAATCAGCCTGTCCATGTGCTCTTAAAGGCGCAGTACTGTTTATTTCTACAGCAGCAATAGCGGTGCTGGTGTAGGGGGAGTCCTGTGGGCCAGCTGACCAGACTGTAGTCCACTAACGCGTAAGAAACAATAACAAATGTACAAGTGCCCAGGTCAGAGCAGTTGAACTCAAGAGCTGTAGTACACTGGTGAAATTCATGTACATTGATTGACTAACTAGAAAATTTGGGGCAGAGAAAAGCTCTCAAAACTATTAAGAATTGTCATGAAAAATAAAATATCTTAAAAGGGTCTGACTTTTCCAATATGTCTGAGCAAAATTTTTATTGCCCCAGTACATATATATTGTATAAACAGCGCAAAATAAGTGAACTGTGCGCTGTCTGCATCCAATTATAAAGCATTTGATTATCAGAGAATCATGAAGTGCGTCGTTACCATGCCAGTTTTTATTTTTCTTTGCTGTGATGACATTAGGTGAGTGAGGAATACCTTTGGACCACTGCAAACCTTTTCAGATGAACTAGTTTTGTTTTACATGTGTTTATGTAGAGGTCTACCGGGATATTTTGATGCTTGTGGCAATTACGTCAAATTCCTTAAGTTTTAGCCTTTACCATTTTTGTTATATTTCTTGTGAAACTTTAAAATTGTCTTATGAAATGTATGTATGTGTCATTTTGTTACACACTAGGCCTGTCACAATCATTACAATATCGGTTTATGAAAGCTGGAACTATATATTTTGGGGCTCAACATTGACTTTTCTTTCTAAGTGTAGAGAAATGTTTGTTATTTTAGTTGTAATACAATAAGATGTGAGCTCTAGAGGGTTCAATAAGTCCCTTCTATGACTAAATTATTGGTTCATTGTGCTATTTATTTGTTGCAGGCCAGGCTTTTTAAAGATACTGTCTACTTAAAATGGTTTACTGGTATTATCTTGCTTTATTTTAATCTTAAATCAGTGACAAAGTAGTTTTCTTTCAATTTTATCAAACGTAACATCACATATACTGTATCATGAAAATCTAGAACAGTGTTCCTAAAGATGTGAGATTTGATTTGTTTGTCTTGTGTTTTTTATGACTTTCTTACTCTCTAAAGCACTTTGAATTACTTTGTGTACGAATTGTGCAATACCAAAAAACTCGCCTTGCCTAAAATAGATCTTTTCTAAGCGTACTACTGACTTCCTTTGATCCCACACTCATTTCACGTCTTGAAACTCCGCAGCCCGTAGCCGTCTCTGAAAATGTCACCCTCCTCCCTCCTCCTCACTGTACATATTTGTGTTTGGTCCTCTCCCTTGTTTGCCCTGCTCCTTTTTATGAGTCAGGACTTTAAACCAGGCCGCTCCAGACGACGTGCCCCCTCCCTCCCTCCCTTTCTGTTTACCTCGGTGCCTGCGTTACCGTGGCGACCGTGTACAGCCCCGAAGCTCGCTCACTGTGGGGGTAATTAACAGTCTCAAGCTCATTAAAAAGTCAACAAGTGGCGTATAAACCCTCTCCTTGTTTCGTAATACTTCCTTAAGACTTTAATCTCAAAATTGCCCGTGTTGAGTATTAGCTGCACGATATCTGTGATTAAAATGACAAATGAGCGTGATTTAGTTGATGACAGTAATGCGCATGGGGCCGGGGCTTCAAAGAACGATTGTGTCTCGAGAGGGAGAGAGGGATATTTCCGGAGAACAATGGATGTTTGGAGCTTTTCGCACTGCCGACAGCTCATTGGGTGACATACAGGAAATGGTTCATGTGCAAAGAGGAAGTGAGAGCGGCAGCAATCAGCTCAACAGCTTCCTGTCCTGGAGTATGGGGATGAATGGAGGCCCGGTCCAGAGGCTAATAGAGCACGGGAGGGCTGTGATTAGGCTGACGATACTGACGATTATATCACGATAATTATAAAAGTTGTTGTCCGTTTTAAAATGTTATGGATATGAAGAATTTTAATCGTAATATCATGAATAGGTTCCATATTTAAACAGCTGTTACAGTACTGTATTTTGTGATAAGTGAAAACAACAATAATCTAGAAGAAAACATCACGGGGAAGTAGCTTTTTTCTGCACATTCTGCTGATAAAATGGCGATTATCTTTGTTGGCAATTATCACAATTATATAAAATGCCCCGCGAAAGATTATTGTCCATCCTTTTATCACGATAAAGAAAAATATTGTTTATTTCTCCACCCCTACAAGTGATAAACTGGAGAAAGGTTTGCAGAAAGGTGTAACTTTTCGGTTAGGGGTCCGTCACCGTCTTGTTTCCAATTGATACGTCATTGCTTTGCTTCAAATCTTCAAATCAGGTGGTTTTACTGCTCAAAAATAGCTAGAAAAACAGGCATTCTGACTGAGTGGGGTTGCCTCTCCACTGATCTGACCTGTAACTTGGACTGGTTTGGTTTCCACAATGATTGAAAGGTTTAAAATGTGCAATGTGTAACTTTTCAGGTGGAGAGTCTGTTAAAATGATTTTCTCCATGGAGATATTATTGCTTTGTCTGGAATGTTTCACAGTATGGCATTAAACCTTTCTATTTTCACAGAGACCAAACTAGACCAACTTACAGGTCAGATCTGTGGAGAAGCAACCCCACTCACAGTCAGAATGTCTGTGTTTCTATGTAGTTTTGAGCTATAAAACAACCTGTAATTGAATAAATGTTAGATATAGCTGTTTAATGTCATACTGTGGAACATTTCAGACACAGCAATAACACCTCCATGGAGAACAGTAGATGGCAATCTCTGCACCAGAAGTTACATAATGCACCTTTGAAGCAAAACTGTTTGAAATCTTCTTTTAGGTCAGAATTTTGAGATTAAGAGCAAAATAAAAGTCAGCTGAAGACATACCTATTTGCACTAGAGTTTATCAACAACTAAACTTTACCTTCCAATTTTATTATAGTCAAATTATTACTATTTCAACCTACATTATCTTAACCTTGTTCTTCTTCTGGTATATTGTGTATTGGGGTTCACTGTCGTATGTTACACTTTGTATAGCACATTTGAAAACAACCACAGCTGACCAAATAAATATGACTTGACTTCAAAGTTCAAAGTTCGATCCAGATCAACGGGTTTAAAGTGGTTTGGACTAATAGCTAAGCCAGACTTCTGTGCTCGAACTCCAAAAATAAATATCTAAAAATATATATATGCAATTTTTCTGATGTGCTTGTCTCCTTTGAGATGTTATTGCTTTTCCTGAAATGTTCCGCAATATTGCATTTAATATAACTGCATTCAAGCAACTGCAGTTGTTGTTGCTACAGAAATGCCTTGAAAAACATGAATTTTTACTCATGTCTGATCTGAGGAGGAAGTTTAATGATATACTTTGGAACATTTAACGCAATGCAATAATATTTCCATGGAGACCCCACCACAAAAAGTTCCACAGTGCAGCATTAAAACTAAATGATTATGAAAACTTGGGTCATCTCTTTCCATCTTTTCCAGCTTTTGTTTGACTGGCAGTAAACTGAAAATGTATTATTTCACTAAGTTATATTTAGTTGACTTAATCTGTCAATAGAACTATAATTAAAACTAATTACGTTTTGTAAATGACTGGACACTCAGACATGAATCAGCGCTGACCTTTGAAGACATAAAAATTCACAGTTTCAACACCATGAATCATATTTTTAAAGAAATAACCACAGTTTTATGAGAAGTGTGACTAATCCTGACAGAAGTTGGCTTGTGCTTTATGCAGCTGTTGTAAATGGTGTCATGTTGTTATTGTGACAGCGCAGGGAGTGGAGGAAGAGGGAGCGCTCCTTTTCCTCTGTGTGTGCAGCCGATATGAGAGGTGCAGAGATCACAGAGGACCCCGCCCCGCCTTATCAGCTGAGGGAGCACTGATTGGAGAGCGCAATGTGACCTTTCTCATGTTCACAGCGGCGCTATACAAACTCATGTTACGTCCGTGTACAGTATAGGATCTGTGCATACAATCAGACCTATTGAGACACTGAAACGGGGCAAAAGATCATGGTCTATGCAGTTCCCTCGGTTGCTGCACCATAACTATTAATCTAAGCAAAGAGACTTGTAATTCGATATATTGTGATAGCAGCATAAAGTAGAACAGATAATTTCGAGCTTTGGAGATGCAGACAGACTAAAGATAAAGGATTACTCAAACATGTGTGAATAAAACAAAATATAACCCCAGGTCTGTTTATGAGCAGGTAACAACATTCTAACATGGCTTAAAGGTCAGACGAGTAAATTTTGGGCAATTTCAACATGAACTGTGTAACTTTTCTGGTGGAGGGTCCGTCATATGCTTTTTCCAAGGAGATGTTATTGTTATTAAACCTTTCTATGTTCATGGAGACCAAACCAGATCAAGTTACAGGTCAGATCTGCGAAGAGGAAACCCCGAGCACAGTCAGAATGCCTGTTTTTCAATGTATTTTTGAGTAATAATGCCACCTGTAATTGAATAAATGTAAGTTACAGCTGTTTAATGTCATACTGTGGAACATTCCAGGCAGAGCAATGGCAAATCCATAGAAACAAAGCAACAAAGCAACCAAAAAGTTACACATTGCACCTTTAAGTAAAGCTACTCAGCAGTGTGTCATTAAACCCCAGAGGGAGCAGTTACAAAGGGCAGCCGGAGATAAGGATCTGAGTGAGGGGGGTATAATGTTATTTCATGCTAATGTGGAGTTATCTCGGCAAATACAAAGGGAAGGCTCAATGATTAACTGTTTAACAACATTCAGGAGGAATAACAAACAATCGGCAATGTTTAATTACCAAAAAGGAGGGGGATATAGATTATCTAAAAAAAACTGTGAGATACATTACCATGAGTCATATGTCATGTGCTTTTGTTTGTTTTTTTTACTATTTTTACTACTTTCTACATTTTGTATTTGGAATTTTGTAGCAAAAGAAAGAAGTTAAATCAATTTCTTTTAAGTATTCAATTTTTATTAAAATCCTCAAAGTAGTACTGTATATGCTGACCCTACCTGACCAAATTTACTGTTAAGCCTTTATAGGAGTTAGTCTATTAATTAGTGTGTTTCAAGTATTAAATGTGCTTAAATTGACCCTTGGAATATAGAAACTTCTTGATCCATTACAGTGACATCATGCTGTAGGTGTTCTACATGTATCTGTACTGGTGGAATATAAAAATACAAAATAGGCTTAAACAACACATTTTCAGTATTCATGGTCCTGTGAAGGAATTTGTTTAACAGTCCAAATCAGCTCACATGACAAGCTTTTTCTGGTCAAATAGTGTTATAATAAAGACAAAAAATTTTATTTGGGTAACACAGATTCTTTCCCTCGGGATCAATACAGTATCTCTAAATAAAGTATTTCTTTCTTCTAAAAGAGAAGTGCTTTCATTTAGCTTCACACCCCCCTGGAATATTGATGACATCAGCTGCAAATTATGAACTGAGAGACTGACTGACAATGATGGATATATGGTATTTTAAAAGTGTCACATTATTCTCACAATCAAATAAAAAGTCTTGCTGCTTTGCTTACCATCTGCTCGATGGGTCAACAAGACCAGAGCCAGGAGCAGAGACAGGCCGGCCATCCTGGAGCAGAGCGTTTCGACCAGGAGACACAGGTGAGGGGGGGAGAGAGAGAAGGGGGGGTCCACAGCAGTGCGCAGAATCAGGGCTCAGGCTCAGAGAGGGGGGCAGGCAGCTCCACTCTGGATGGAGGGGGCTGGAGGCAGGAGGACTATCACAATATCTGCTCCTCCTTTGTCTCACACACTTGACGGGTCCAAAGCCCTGCGGAGGAGAAACATAAAACTGATTAGAAACGTACAAGAATAAAATGTACATCACTGGTTGAGGTAAGTGGGGTGATTCCAGCTTCCACAGATGGATGCTGTAGTTGTATCCTTGGGCAAGAGACTTAACCCACCCACCTGTGTGAATGTGTGAGTGGTTCCTTGATTAAAGCTATATAACAAAAATGTGTGAACAATATGATAAAATGTGGATTTATCACTACTCAGAATGGTGCAACTGTCCTGGATGGATCAAACTAAATCAGGAAAACATTTTTTATGATAAATGCCATTATATGAATAGCACACAAACCAATATTCAAGAGTAAAATTCAGGATTCACTGTTACTGATATTGGCATCGGATATTGGCGCAGATCCTGAGAAAATGACCTGGATTGGATATTGGCTTCCAAATATCTGCTCATACCATCAACTAGGGCTGGGTATCATTAAGAAGTTGCTAGTACAATACATGCCTCGATATATAGGCCACCATACGATACATATCTCAATACAGTGCACTTTTGGTTTGATATGACATATTTCAAATCGATCACAGTTCAACAGAAGGAAAAAAAAAGGCTAAATCATGGCTGTAATACTAAAAGTCTTTGTTAAACCACTTCTTCTGCAAAGTGAATATGAAACATTTCACTCATCAAAAACAGTGAAAATGTCAAATGTGTTGATTAAACAAGTTTTTTTTTTCTCTAAACAAAAAAACTTTAGCGCTGTAACAAAATGATTTGGTAATATACCAAAAACTACTCTTGGATATATATCGATATAGTACCCCATGATATTGCTACTGTATCATCACATTAAACAATGAGATATTTTGATATTTCAATATTTTTGCACACCCCTACTATCAACTATATGAAGAAGTGAACTAAAAGGAGTGTGACGTCACCTGTAGCGTTATGCTCTAATCAAATGAAGCTCAAGAGGATAGCAGTTATTGGGACTATAGGAATAGGGATTTATTTACAGACAAAATAGTGAAATAAAAACACCATAATCATGTAGAGCGGGTTAATATGAACATTTCAAGACCAAAATGATGAGGCTCACAGCAGTTACACAGAAAAGAGTGACATCTTTTCAATACAGACTGAACTGGAGCCAGAAACTAATTTGAATCTAGAAAGAATAGTTTGATTTCACTAGATTAAGCAGATGTCAAATTAAATGATGTAGCATGATAGTTAGCATGTAAACATATTAGCCGTGAGTTGCGTTGGGTGCCCACAGTCCATGACCCTGTGACCCCTGCCTGCCCAGCAATGGCCTGCGGCGGTCCGTCTAACTGCCACGTTATTTGTCCAGGGATGTTCTGCAATTACCGCCACCGAGCCTGTGCGGCACTAATACAGGCATGCCGCAATTAGTGGGCGCCAAGCAGGGGTCCGGTGTGTGTGCTTGTTTGTGTGCTTGTGTGCGTGTATATGTGTGCGTGTGTGTGTGTGAGGAGCAGAATGTCTGTCACTTTTCATTTGGACCAGGGGCACAAAGGGGTCCGACCTGTAACCTACTTTTCACACATCTCTGACTGAGGAGGGCCCAACAAAGAGCCAGCACACGGAACACCGCAGCGGCCACTGATGAGGGAGGCCGGGGGCTGATATAGACTACTGGGACCACAACTCGAATCACACGCCATCGGGAAGAAAGGGGAGAAGGGAGTATAGGAATGACTGTTGGAACTGTACATGTGGCTAGGCCTGTCACAATTTTGTCACAGTTTTGAAGCTTGATATATTGCTACAGAGATATACTGCGGTAAACGATATAATACTGAAACTTTATGCCACTGACACAATTGTCACATGAAAGCTTTACATGAAAGCTTAAATTCTGTTTTAAAAAGACCATGTAAACACTTAATTCCCAAGTAAGTGAGTGGTTTATTCCAATTTTAAAGCCAAATTCATTTGTTCGTCGATCATGTAAATGTTTATTCTTCTTAAAAATAATTCTGGTTCAGTGCATAATCGTTGGGTTAGGTCACCAGTCCTCGCTTCAGACTTTCATCCATGTCTCTTTGGATTTGCGAGCGGGATGCGGGAGTGGGCTGAGGTAGAATAGCCATTGACTCAGTTTGTCTTCTTCTTCCCTTCTCCGACACTCTTCCCTTCTCCTCCTCAGCTGACAGACGTAAAGCGTAATGAGAGAATTCTCCAGCTGCTGCGCAATTCTCACTGGACTGCAAAAAAGTTTGGATCATGTTTGTCCATGGCGTAACGACAAATAGAAATGACAAAAAAGCTGGCAAACAGCTTAAATATGTGTTTTCTTCTGGAAGATGCAAATACGTTGTGTCCCCGTCCAATCAGAACCCTTCCCCACCCCCGGACGTTGAAGGGAATTAAATAAAGGCAATTTAACGTGTTTTTCCAAGTAAATCTCAATTCAGAATTATTATTTCCATGTAAACTCGAAGAATATTTTAATTCAGAACAATTAATTCAGAATTAATAAACATGTAAACGTGGCCAATGCTGGATAACCCCTGTAAACCAACTTTCTTTTAAATACAGTTTCATTAAAAAGCCTGAGCTGCAACCAATAAATGACAGAATGAATATACTAGTTAGAACAGTTATTTATATTACTCTCTACAGCTCATATCTTAAGCAATTACATAAAAATGGCAAAAATCTCCTCACTTCTATAAAGAAAATGTTCTCACTGTAAATACTGAGCCCAAAAATATATTGTTCCAGCCAATCAAAGTCAATATAGTAATTATTGTGACCTGTGGCTGCTATGGCACACAAGGTTTAGACCAATAACCGTAAAAGTTTAAAAGCTCGCCATATTTTTCTATTACACTTTTATTACATTTTTTAAAGGTGCACTATGTAACCTTTCTGGTTTGGGCGGGTATGTTCCATGGTACGGCTTTAAACATATGTAGCATTTATGTAATTACAGGTGTGTTCTTGTGAGCGGTGTCGTCTTAGTCTTGTTCCCATACAGCTATATTGTATAAGCAGCTCTTGAGGTTGAAATAAGTCTGGGTTGTGTCTGCAACTAATTGAAAAGCATTTTATTGTCCGTAAACTCAGGAAGTGCACCTTAGCATGCTAGTTGTTGTTAGCTTTACCATCAACGGCTCTGAAATTTGTGAAAAGCGCTTAACAGTAAAAATCAGATACACTGCCCTAAACTATAAAACTATAATTAACCACAATTAAATTTTATGTCAGCATTAGAATAAAGTGCCAGTGGGAATACTAAAACGTTTAAGAATTTGCTCATAAAAAGGCTACACTTTTCAGGATCGTGAGACAAAATTGCCAAAAGATCATGCACACATAGTAAAAAATCTCACGAGATAATTTTTCTCTTGTGTTTATATTTGGATTGGACACAAAAGGGTCAAAGTTGGTGAGTTACATCTCTTACAGTTCCAAAAAGCAGAATGGAAACAAAACTATGAAACTGAATTAATCAGAAATTGTGAGGCCAAATCAAAAATTGGAAACTGAATTGTGAAATGTATATATTGCAAATGATGTTAAAATGTCATCTTGTCTCGTTCTCATGGACCTAGTCTCATATGTCGTCTCATCTTGTGGAAAATGTGTCTTGTCCATTCCCTAGTCACAGCAGATAAAATCACACCTATAATGAAGCTATATTTATACCTTTATGAATACAAGTAGGACAGGTGTCAGATAGCACACTGTATAAAATGCTTATAGCGCTTTGGGGCTCGATATTGTGTTACCGCGTCCTATATTTTTCAAACAACATGGAGGAGGAGGTGTTTTTGCTTCGCGGCGGCAAGTTTGTTTGTACTTCTTTGCTCCATTTAGAGTCCAACGCCATCGCCCTCATCAGCAGCACCAGACCAGAGATAGTACAGGAGAGGAATGTACCAGAGCTTTTAACGGGACGGGTTTCAAATGAACCTTTCTTCTGTTTCATGAGATGTACAGTGATATAAGAAACAACTGTAAGTGTAAAGTTCACCACTAGAAATGCAACAACACAGCCTTTTCTGTTCCGATACTACTATACCGATATTGATACTTTAGCGTCAAGTATCTGCCAATACCCGTCGATATCTGCCAGTACCGGTTATCTGCCATTACCCGACATCCGATATCTGCCAATGCCGTCATCTGCCAATGCCCGTTACCCGCCAATACCCGTTATCTGCCAACACCCGATATCTGCCAATACTACTTATCTGTCAGTAGCCGTCATCTGCCAATACCCATCCATTATCTGCCAATACCAGTTATCTGCCAATACCAGTTATCTGCCAATACCGATATCTGACAACACCCGATATCTGACAACACCCGATATCTGACAACACCCAATATCTGACAATATTAGGACAAAAACGTATTTACTTTAAACATAAGCAGCCTATGGTAAAAGTGGGTTTTGTAACTGTTATTTATCATTTAAAATAATTAAAGAAATACTTTGTAAAAATACAAGATTATTATTAAGAGACGTTTTGGGCCAGACACCATTTCCACAAGACGAGACGATACAAGAATGGGTCCACAAGAAGGAGACAAAACAAGATTTTAACATAATTCCTAATATACAATTTTTTAATTTATTTGATTTCGTATTTTTGTTTCCGTTCTATCCCTGCTATTTGGAACTGTAAGAGTAGCAACTCAACATGTAACCCTCTTTTGTCCAATCCAAATGTAAACACAAAAAATCTCATGAGATTATTTTTCTCATGTGTGCACGGTCTTGTTGGAATTTTGTCTGACGAGATCTTGTACCATCCCTTGTAAATAATCTTCTTACACCAGTTTATAGACCAAAACTGGATACTGACTGAACCGATATCTTGGAACCGATGCCCGATGGAACTATTTATCATGGCAGTTGAGAGTAACCTGTATTTTTTTATGAAGCAGGCACTAGACAGTTTCCACATTCATATACAATTCTAATAACAAAGCTTGAATTTATAAAAAGGCAAAAACATTTGAAATACCAGGCAGACACACAC